AGCCAGAATTCTCAGGATGGTCTTGGACATCTAATTGAGTGTTTAATACACACTTCTTTCAGTTTTAGTTTATTCTGTATAACTGTAATATATACTTTTTGCCTGGTCCTCTTTTATCTCTTCCCTTGCTCCGCAAGCCCTGTCTCTTGTTTATACAACTTTTAACTCATATCAATGTACATATCGGAAAGTTATTGTATTTATTAAGTATACTGTATTGAATTTACTCCCAGATTTGTGCAAAGATTATTTTCGTCTAGACTTTGTGATATACAATTGTTACAGTTATTTCTCTTGTTTTTCTTCCCTTGCTCTGCAAGCCCTGTTTCTTGTATAAAAATTGTGTTTAGTATTTCATATATTCTTGTAATTATTGTGATAATTTGTGATTCAGTTTTCAGTATTAGTAATAGGTGTTTGCTGAATTACTGTATTATACACTCTGTGGCCAGCTCTTATGTGTCCCATCTCTTGCCCTGCAAGCCCTGTTTCTTGTTTATACAACATATTATAATTATGTAATAAACATTTATTGTAGTGTAGGATTGTTTGAATTTCTAAGTCATTTAATATGCATTTTGTGTTTGTTTCTCCCGTTTTTCTTCCCTTGCGTTGCAAGCCCTGTCTCTTGTAAAAACAACCACTTTTGTAGATACACACAGTCTCTACGCCTTTATCCTCTGGTCCCTAGGGTCAGCTGACTCCGGGCCAGAGGAAAATTACCGATTGCCAAGGTTTGATGCCTAGGCAGTCGAGACCTCTTATTGAGACCCGATATAATAATAATAGGATTATGGCCACGTGGCCATCTCGACAAAACTTGAAACCCAACTGCACTCTACGCTATTGCAGTTCGCACAATATTATCAAAAAGAAAAATGTTCCTATCCGGAACATTTAATGATTAATTATTTTTAGGACGTTAACATGTAGTTCTGAATTTAACAATCAAGAAACATTGATTCCTCGGTATTTAGCAATCAATGGGTTATTAGACATGAAATGTGCATATGAATCATGCTCACATGTATTTATTTTTGACATCAAGGTTTCGCTGAGATCCCAGAAGTGACCCTTTGACGATGCTCCACTCGCTATCAGTTCATTTTTATAACATTGAAGTCGAGCTTTGAATGCGTCTACTGAACTGGCTTCTTTAACCGAACTTGGTACTTTGTTCCAGTAATTGGCAACACGGTTACTGAGGACCTGATTTCCTCTTTTATCTTTTAGGATCTTGGTACCGCTACGTGATATCCTGAAAAGATCTTGTCCATAGTCCACTTTACCCGTCGTTATTTTAAAGGTTTCAATAAGATCACCCCTCATACGGCGCTCCAGTAGTGTTGTTAACTGGAGGATTCTCAGTCTCTCATCGTATGGTAGGATACCAATCCCGTCGATTATTCGTGTAAATTCTCTCTGAACGTCTTCTATCTTCTTAATAGTCCTCCAGTTTCCGTGCTCTGCTGGTAGATTCCACACTTGCACAGCGTATTCGATGTGAGGTCGAACTAGAGTTCTGTAGACATTTAGCATAACAAATTTGTTACGGCAGATCAAACTTCGTTTGATCCAGCCTATAACAGACTTTGCTTTTTTCACGGACTTATCTATATGATCACTCCAGTCCAGGTTTCTGGTAGTTAGAACTCCAAGATCCTTTTCTGCCTTCACTTGGGGGAGGCGTTCCCCATTCATGAAGTACTAGTGCATTGGATTGTTACGCCCAATATGTAGTACCTTACACTTGCCATCCTTCACATTGAATCTTAGGAGCCATTCCTTCTCCCACGCATTGAGTTTCAGTATATCATCTTGTGCAACACTGTGCTTAGCTGTGCTCGTTACTAGCTTAAGATCGTCCGCAAAGAGTGATACGAAGCTCTCAATTCCATCAGGGAGATCATTTATGAAGAGCAGGAAGAGCAGGGGGCCCAGCACGGTTCCTTGAGGGACCCCAGATGTTACAGCAAACACTCTAGAAAATGATGATCCAACCCTGACGCGAAATGTTCTTCCTGTTAGAAAGTCTTCCACGACTGCAAGGGTGTTGCCAGATATTCCAAAGGATTGTAATTTTCTCAGCAATCGTTTGTGTGGTACAGAATCGAAAGCCTTCTGAAAATCGAGATACAGTATATCAGCTGACCCGTCCTTCTCTAGTATCTCACTGACAATGTCCATACATTCCAGTAGGTTCGAGACGCAGGATCTTTTTGGTAGGAAACCGTGTTGTTCATTCACAATCATGGGGGATACGTGAGCTAGAATATGGTTCCTTAAAAACCTCTCAAAGATCTTGGAAAGAACGCACGTTAGGCTAATAGGGCGATAATTGCTGGCTTGGGATTTATCCCCCTTTTTATGCAATGCAGTGACATTTGCCTGCTTCCAGATTTCGGGAATCTTTCCCTCGTTGTAGCATTTTTGGAACAGTGCTGTGACTGAATCAGCAAACTGTTTGTTTTCGGCTAGTGTTTTCAAAAGCTTGGGGTGTATATCATCAGGTCCAACGGACTTCCAGATGTTAACTTTACGAAGTTGATCTTGAACTTCACTTGTATTGAATTTCAGGTCAGGAATCGTCTCCTTTGCGCTGTCTCCGGGTAGTGGGTCAGGTATTGAGGCCTGATCCTCCTTTACAAACGTGCTCTCAAAGAAAATCCCAAGTTGGTTAGCCATATCATGTGCTGAGTGGAGTTCATCCCCACTAGCATCTCTGATTCCAGATATTGCAGCCCTAATCTTGCGCTTGGAGTTCATATAGCTGTAGAAAGCTTTTGGATTTATTTTTAGCTGGGCTGCTGCTTTATTCTCATAGCATATCATGAGCTGCTGTTGCTTCTTCTCGTAAGCACTCTGCTGATGTAGTGCATGATTCAGGTTTTTTGATGTCGGGTCGTTTTCAAAAATAGACCACAGTTTTTCTTTTAGCTTCCGTGCCTTGATTAGACATGGTTTGTCCCAGACCGATCGTGATTTTATTGCACCTGCACGATTTATCCTCAATTTGACGACTGGAACAGCTTCAGCAATGGTGTTGGCATTGGCCTGAATCAGATTCCAGTGCTCTTCAATAGTCAAGTCATGATTGGCACTCCATTGCAGCGGCCCTGCTGTATCAATGATTAGATCTTTGTTTGCTTTTGACCAATTTTTCTTCTGTTGAGTCACATACTCATCATGGTTAGCAATTGACCACTTACTGATAATTCCCACATGGTCTGATTTTCCCAGCGGTGCGGTTATTTGAACTTCCTGAAATATGGCGGGGTCTGAAGTCATAACATTGTCAAGAGTTGACGATTGCACTGTTGTTAAAACCTTCCTTCTGCGAGTTTTAACATCGTCTCCGATAACCCAACTGAGATCATGTTTTGCGAAAAAATCAAGATAGCACTGTTGAATCAGGAATTTTTGATTAATTGAATTATTCGGACATTTAACTACACCTAAATCCCACACAACATCAGGAAGATTGAAATCTCCCATCATGATTAGTTCGGTATTAGGGGCTAGATTTTCAATCGCTACGGACAGATTAGATAACATTGATTGACACTTATCGATTGTTAATGAAGGGGATCGGTATATAACAAATAATGCAATATCAATACAATCAGAATTTAGCATGACACATATGCAATCAGGTACATTTATTGTTACATTGTGAGATTGGATAGAATCATGCACATATATACAAGAACCACCACCTTTCCCCGTTAATCGATCTACTCTATACAGCCTAAAGTTCGCTAATGCTACCTCTGCATCATACACATCTGCACTGAACATTGTTTCTGTAATTCCCAAAACCTTGCAGTCGCTGGATTCGGCTACAATTTGCAGTTCACTGATTTTATTCTTCAAGTCATTTGCATTTGAATAAAAAACTTTCAGAAAATGACTAGCATTGTTTCTTAGTTTAGAGTTATAACTAGAGACAGCTAATAGGTCGCAACGTTGCCGGAGTTTTCCGATTCCGTACCACCTGTCAATAGTCCCTTGGAACCACTGTCCTTCGTCCGCTCCCGTCTTTTTTGCCGCGCCTCGTAGTTCGCCCTTCTTTCAGCCTGGGATAAGTCTGGATTTATCCAGTAGTCCTCACCATCCTTGAGAACCTTGCAGCCATTTCCGTACTTGTGCTTGCTACGGGCAAGATCTGGTGTCGCAAGCACAACAACAAGGGGTCGTGGCTTTGTTCTTTCCTTATTAGAGCCAGACCCGAGAGGGGGACCAGCTCTGTAGCAGCGTTCTATCTGGTCGGTTGTGACATCTAGAACCGTGGCAGCTATCAGCTTATCGGCTGCGATCCTGTCCTTTATCTCTGTTAGTGAGCTCTCGGGAACAGTAGTGATCACGACGTTCCTGATACGCTTCTCTTTGTCGAACACATCAGCTTCCTGTCGAGCTGTGGTCTGAGATACAATCTCAGACTGGCTTTCCTTAAGCGCAGATGCTAAACTGTTCTCGAAACATTTCTTCGTCTCGAAAACATTTCTTCGTCTCGCGGATAGGATCACTGAACTGGCTCGTACCTCAACTCCCTCACTTGTGTTCAGTTTTAGGTTGCTGTGAGTTGGGGATCCTATCAGGTGCCTTCCAAAATCCATCGGAACATTCACTTTGGGTGCCATTGCAATGATATTTCCTGATAAATGATATTAAGGTTATACTTTAAATCAAGTGATATTTTACTTTCAATGGGTTCAATTGAGGTATAGAATAGATTTCACTGAACTCTTTGTTTTTTGTTCCGACAATTTGCTTCAATGATGAACTTAGGTGCATATACGAATACTCGAATAGATACATTTAACACTAAACTTAGATTCGTTGCTACACTTTGTAACAATTTGTTGTCATGAATTTCATATAATTAGCTGCTACATTTTGAAATCTTTACATTGAACTTTTTCAAAAGTTGAACTGCTCTGAACTATATTTTAATTTCTACAAAACGTGATGTAATGAGTAACAAAAGAAAGTAAAATATATATTTTCAGATGAAATAAATAAATCGTGATTTAAATTGGTTGTTACACTGTTACAGTAGGTAGGTATGTAATTGCTGATTCCATAAACTTCACAACACAAGCAAGGCCAGAAAAAGCAAATTGTTTAAAAACTGCTGCTTTAAATTTAAAATTCCATCTGAACTGATTAAAAATAAGGAAGGACACGGGGTAGGTAATAAATATTGGAAGGTATAGAACTGATCGATCAACTGGCGTTACATTTAAACTATGCATATAATTGTAGTAGTCATATAAAATAAACCAGTTATGTTGGAGCCAGTTACACCCAATAGCATAGTAAAAACAGATCATGGCTGGATACTCGATAAATAAAAAGGTTAAATAGTCCTCAGGTTATCTCACAGAAGTTGTTCCATGGGTTTTAGAGCTAGGACACTGTCCACGAACTGCCATCTCGTTATCTCAAATAACTCAGAAAACTCCTGAAACAGAGAAAATCAGTAAAATAAGGATTTAGTCGGGAAGAACTAGAAGGAATATTTCAAACGGGTAATTAAAATTGTTCTTATTTCTCACAGTACGGTGTACACATTTTAAGATTTGTATTTAACAGTTCTCTATTACCTTATCATTATCTAGAAACTCCTTGTTGAGTGAATCTACAGTAGCACCATCATCATACGGTTCTATATCTGTAGCTTCGTTATACTGAAAAAAAAACATTTCATATTTCACTACCAACTCACAAAAAGTGTACCGTGAACATCCTGTTCCAAGGTAAAGCTAGATAGGTCATAAAGTGAAAGAAGACGAACATTTCCTACTCGCAGTAACAAAGAGATATATTCTAAATTAAGATGGTCACAGAAGACTATAATACATGTTGCATCATACCTGTTGCTGGTACTGGGCCATGTTCTGATTGTACTCTGTCATCTGCTGCTGGTACTGGTGCCAGGGGTCGCTGCCTCCTTGAAACGGGCCCGGGGGAGGGGGCCCTCCTTCCTGCATGTTGGGGCCTCCTCTCTCACCCCTGTGGGGGGAGCAACTCAGTTATAATAGTGCCTCTAAGTTGAGGACATCATAGCTCCACTGCGATTACAGATTACATACTGAATTACTGTTCAATAGTCAAAAATGAGTATGAACCATTAAACTTACTGTTTAGGGAAAGCTTTACAAACACGTATCCTATTCTTGCCGAGCCCGGCCATCAAGTTGAAACTACTGATAGCTTTCTTGGCATCCTCGTCCATACTGAACCTCACAAACCCGAACCCTTTACTCTGACCATTCTGCTCCGTGACTACTTTAGCGCTCTTGCAAGAGGAGAGGGAGGTGGCAAAGAACTTAAACAGGCTGTTATCATCAACCTGGTCAGGGGAGAATAGTCTTAGTGGGAGAAAACTAGATTTATCAGTCTAATCAGTGGGAGAAAACTGGATTTTGAGTAGTCAGCACAATGTCTAGAAATAGTTATTTGTAAGACAAATTAGATCCATCTAATTCATATACACCAGGTTTACGTCATTTATTCAGTTATCATTTATTAGTAAGCGGGAAAAATTGATTAATTCCAAGCAACATTACTAAAGAGAGCCTAACCTCATCACCTCAGGACTAGGATACTAAAGAAAGAGAGTCTAACCTCAGGACTAAGATACTAAAGAGAGCCTAACCTCAGGACTAAGATACTAAAGAGAGAGTCTAACCTCAGGACTAAGATACTAAAGATAGCCTAACCTCAGGACTAAGATACTAAAGAGAACCTAACCTCAGGACTAAGATACTAAAGAGAGTCTAACCTCAGGACTAAGATACTAAAGAGAGAGTCTAACCTCAGGACTAAGATACTAAAGAGAGTCTAACCTCAGGACTAAGATACTAAAGAGAGCCTAACCTCAGAACTAAGATACTTAAGAGAGTCTAACCTCAGGACTAAGATACTAAAGAGAGTCTAACCTCAGGACTAAGATGCTAAAGAGAGCCTAACCCCAGGACTAAGATACTAAAGAGAGTCTAACCTCAGGACTAAGATACTAAAGAGAGAGCCTAACCTCAGGACTAAGATACTAAAGAGAGCCTAACCTCAGGACTAAGATACTAAAGAAAGAGAGCCTAACCTCAGGACTAAGATACTAAAGAGAGTCTAACCTCAGGACTAAGATACTAAAGAGAGCCTAACCTCAGGACTAAGATACTAAAGAGAGCCTAACCTCAGGACTAAGATACTAAAGAGAGCCTAACCTCAGGACTAAGATACTAAAGAGAGTCTAACCTCAGGACTAAGATACTAAAGAGAGCCTAACCTCAGGATCGGACTAAGATACTAAAGAGAGCCTAACCTCAGGACTAAGATACTAAAGAGAGCCTAACCTCAGAACTAAGATACTAAAGAGAGTCTAACCTCAGGACTAAGATACTAAAGAGAGTCTAACCTCAGAACTAAGATACTAAAGAGAGTCTAACCTCAGGACTAAGATACTAAAGAGAGCCTAACCTCAGGACTAAGGTACTAAAGAGAGTCTAACCTCAGGACTAAGATACTAAAGAGAGTCTAACCTCAGGACTAAGATACTAAAGAGAGTCTAACCTCAGGACTAAGATACTAAAGAGAGCCTAACCTCAGGACTAAGATACTAAAGAGAGTCTAACCTCAGGACTAAGATACTAAAGAGAACCTAACCTCAGGACTAAGATACTAAAGAGAGTCTAACCTCAGGACTAAGATACTAAAGAGAGTCTAACCTCAGGACTAAGATACTAAAGAGAGAGTCTAACCTCAGGACTAGGATACTAAAGAAAGAGAGTCTAACCTCAGGACTAAGATACTAAAGAGAGCCTAACCTCAGGACTAAGATACTAAAGAGAGTCTAACCTCAGGACTAAGATACTAAAGAGAGTCTAACCTCAGGACTAAGATACTAAAGAGAGAGTCTAACCTCAGGACTAGGATACTAAAGAAAGAGAGTCTAACCTCAGGACTAAGATACTAGAGAGAGAACCTAACCTCAGGACTAAGATACTAAAGAGAGCCTAACCTCAGGACTAAGATACTTAAAGAGAGCCTAACCTCAGGACTAAGATACTAAAGAGAGCCTAACCTCAGGACTAAGATACTAAAGAGAGTCTAACCTCAGGACTAAGATACTAAAGAGAGCCTAACCTCAGGACTAAGGTACTAAAGAGAGCCTAACCTCAGGACTAAGATACTAAAGAGAGCCTAACCTCAGGACTAAGATACTAAAGAGAGCCTAACCTCAGGACTAAGATACTAAAGAGAGCCTAACCTCAGGACTAAGATACTAAAGAGAGCCTAACCTCAGGACTAAGATACTAAAGAGAACCTAACCTCAGGACTAAGATACTAAAGAGAGTCTAACCTCAGGACTAAGATACTAAAGAGAGCCTAACCTCAGGACTAAGATACTAAAGAGAACCTAACCTCAGGACTAAGATACTAAAGAGAGTCTAACCTCAGGACTAAGATACTAAAGAGAGTCTAACCTCAGGACTAAGATACTAAAGAGAGAGTCTAACCTCAGGACTAGGATACTAAAGAAAGAGAGTCTAACCTCAGGACTAAGATACTAAAGAGAGCCTAACCTCAGGACTAAGATACTAAAGAGAGTCTAACCTCAGGACTAAGATACTAAAGAGAGTCTAACCTCAGGACTAAGATACTAAAGAGAGAGTCTAACCTCAGGACTAGGATACTAAAGAAAGAGAGTCTAACCTCAGGACTAAGATACTAGAGAGAGAACCTAACCTCAGGACTAAGATACTAAAGAGAGCCTAACCTCAGGACTAAGATACTTTAAAGAGAGCCTAACCTCAGGACTAAGATACTAAAGAGAGCCTAACCTCAGGACCAAGATACTAAAGAGAGTCTAACCTCAGGACTAAGATACTAAAGAGAGCCTAACCTCAGGACTAAGGTACTAAAGAGAGCCTAACCTCAGGACTAAGATACTAAAGAGAGCCTAACCTCAGGACTAAGATACTAAAGAGAGCCTAACCTCAGGACTAAGATACTAAAGAGAGCCTAACCTCAGGACTAAGATACTAAAGAGAGCCTAACCTCAGGACTAAGATACTAAAGAGAACCTAACCTCAGGACTAAGATACTAAAGAGAGTCTAACCTCAGGACTAAGATACTAAAGAGAGCCTAACCTCAGGACTAAGATACTAAAGAGAGAGTCTAACCTCAGGACTAAGATCCCCCACGTAAATACTGAACTCCTCTCTAGACCCTCTAGAACTGGAACTCGCCCAGTTTAACTTGAGCAGCTTGTCTGTGCCCGGCCAGGGTTTCAAGTTCTGTGTCATCAGCACCTGCTGAGCTGCTTGTTCGCCTGAAATGTGATAAGATCCTGTCATCTCCAGTACCAACTACAGTAAAAGGAGTAGCGAACAGACTGAAGGACATGACCAACAGGAATATAAATAAAATATATTATACAGGGTGGCCCAGAAGTAACTACCCAGGCCCACACGCATATATCTTGATACGTTTTAATAATTATACTATTAATTATAAAAACCAATCGCTTCGTTTGTTTCAACACGATATGCCTCATAACAATCAGTGAAACAAGAATAACTCACTGTCGAACTCGAGGAAGCAATAACCCTGAGGTCTGCCCGTCATCCTGTCCTTTATCAGTCTAACACTGACTACGTTATGTCCCATTCCTTCGTACAGCTGGGTTAAATACGCCTCGTCCATATGGGGCTCCAGCTGGGAGGTAACAGTGTTTAGTATGGGGCTCCAGCTGGGAGGTAACAGGTTTAGTATGGGGTTCCAGCCACCCCTGCAGATTTCGTCGATTTCAGGTGCCGACAGGAACTTACAAATTAAAAGCAAACTTAAATTTTTTCCCCTAAAATCGAGCGCTTTCTGCGCAAAAAATTGACCTCAACAGAAAAAATTAAACATGGCTTCAAATCCAAATTTGAACCAGAGATTTTTCACTTCCTCCGATAAACTCAATTTTCAACCCAAAATAAAGTCTCAAAGGAGGAAATTACTCAGGTCAGGATTGTAGGCAATGATTATGCCAAACCATACATTTTTGTAAATTCATTAAACTTTCAATTTAGCCTAAAACACCCTATTTCGGAAAATTTTTCCGGGGGGCTGCGCCCCCCTGGCCCCCGCCAATGGGGTCCGCCCCTGGACCCCGCTGGGGGCTGCTCGGGAACTTAAAAGTTCACCTCAAAACGAAATCTGCACCTATGGTTCCAGCTGGGAGGTAACAGTGTTTAGTATGGGGTTCCAGCTGGGAGGTTATTAGGTTACCTCTTCTATATAAGTGCTGTTTATATCAAGCACAAAGCATCTTAAACGATAATCTCAGAATGTGTGTCTGTCTGTCTGTGCACGTGTAATTTCCGATCGGCTTAATCAAGAAAACGGTAAAAGTTTACACTTTACACGGGACTGATTTTTTCGGTTAAGTGCCGAGAAAACTCTGACGAAGCCAAATAATAAAGGTCTTTTAAATCGGTCGGTGGTAAAGTGGTAAGTGGTTTAATTGATGGTTTTGTACCACAAAATATATGAAATAAAATGGATCACCTTTTCTCCCTCCTCGCTCGTTATGCGTGTTTTCTAATATAATAGGCGGGTTTATATTTTTGCATTTCAACTGCGATAGTGAAGTCCCGACCGTAGGCACAGGTTACACGGGTTACATCATCATTATAATACGTACTTGATACGTTATTTAATATATATATAATATACAAATTATACAAATTATATATATTATATATATAGATATAGATATATATACAATATATACAAATTATATAACGTATAATATTAATACTGCACGATATTCAGATTTGCGCCACGGGGTAGCCACGTGCATGTTCTTATGTTCCTTCTAGACACAAGTCTGCAGCTGCACACTACAAAAGTACCGTTATTAGTTTCTAAGTTTGGACAGCTGTAAATATCAGCTTTATTAATTCTGTTGTTGGATTATAATAAGGGAGACTGTGCTATAGCTTTTATTTAGACTTGTATTGTCTTCTGTAGAATAGAAATAGTTCATGTTCTTCAGTAGTTTTGCCGATGTTTTCTAAACCGTTTTTGTCGCGTCATGTTCAAATTATTATATTGTTCCTCGAATAGTAATTGTACCCCCCCCCCCCCCCCCTGTATTATCATGTCAAGTCATGTAAATCATGTTATTCTAAAGTAAAGCACGAATTAACGTTCATTCTTACCAAAGAAAGTGCATACAAATATCAGCACAACAAAGCAGCCACAAGATACCAACATCTACTTTGATTCACATCAAGAACCCCCCTCCCCCTCTCCCCCCTCTCCACCAGTCACCCCTCCCCTTAAGTGATAAGAAATTAAGATTACTCACATCTCCCATCCAGAGACTGCAAGCATTACCAGGATTGTAGGGATTCATATTGTTTACTGTGTATAAGATAACTGTGTAACTTTTGTATTATTAGCCTGCTTCTCTCTTATAACATGCCACCTTTGTTGGGATTACATGTTAATACCCATCTCTGAAGTATGGGTCTTCATCCACAGCTGTTGAGTCAGTGGATTAAAATTATCTTGTACTTAAGTATTATATATAAACAGTATGTGATACGTTAATATCTCTTAAATTGTTATAATGAGAAATGATACAAAGATGAAGGGTTAGAAAGTAAGTAATTCAGAATGCAGCACAGTATACAGAGGAGATGATAATAATGAAGTAACAAATAAACACTTGAAGAGTATAGCAGGTACCTAAATAAACTGATCATAATAAAAGAAGAATAATACTCTTGACTACTTGAACATTATTGCACATCGCAAAACTATAAATATACTAGCATTATAGACGGACGTGTCACCCCCCTAGCAATATCGGATAATTTAAAAAGGCGGGAAATACAATTATTACTCCCTAAAACTTTTGATTATAAATAGAATAAATAATGCAAAAAATGTTAAAAATTCGATGGCTTATAATAAAAAGCTAAACTGATGTAAGAGATAAGTTTCTAGCTACCTGAGCTGATAGAAATCAATACGGCTCCTTTAAAAACAAAGTATCTAATAGAAAGGCTAAGGAGCCTAATCTTACACTAAAATCATAACAACAAAAAAACTAAAAGTTCACTTAAAGGATCTCTCCTTCTTCTTATGGTCCTTGTAGATAGTGATAACCTTTGCTTTAGGAATAAGAGTGTCTGGTAAACCGAACTTTCTCTTCTTCTTCTTAGGAGCTCCATCCTCTTCCTCCTCCTCTAAAGGGTGTTCGTAACCAGGCGGTGCTGAGTAACCACTACCTGGAATTTAGTTGTTATAGTAACCAGGCGGTGCTGAGTAACCACTTCTGGAATTTAGTTGTTATAGTAACCAGGCGGTGCTGAGTAACCACTGCTGGAATTTAGTTGTTATAGTAACCAGGCGGTGCTGAGTAACCACTACCTGGAATTTAGTTGTTATAGTAACCAGGCGGTGCTGAGTAACCACTACTGGAATTTAGTTGTTATAGTAACCAGGCGGTGCTGAGTAACCACTACCTGGAATTTAGTTGTTATAGTAACCAGGTAATGCTGAGTAACCACTACCTGGAATTTAGTTGTAATAACGTTTCTTAATATTCTAAACAACACGGTTTCATCGATGTATAGACGGATGTCGGATAGTAGGGGTTTGAATTCTGAAACTTCTTACCGAAAGCAGGAGTTGCTTTAGAAGGAATAGTGCCGGCTCCGTTGAACAGGTCGTTATCATGAGCAAACCTGCACTTGTGCCCTTGTCTGCATCTTCCGTGCTTACGAAACTGCCAGCACACTTTCTTTCCTAGGACAACAATAATATGTCAATTAATCTTATCAACTGAACTAAAATTAAATAGTTTTACTAATAATAGAGGGGTGTGATCTAAAACTGAACTACCTCATGACTTCATCAGTCCTAATCTTTCCAGTAGTTTATTATCTCTAAAGGGTGCACGTGCAGGTGACTTCCATTGTACCTTATTCGGATTAAGGACCATACGTCATGATTTCAGATACGAGCTCCCTAATCACTAACCGAGTAATTGATAACTGGGTAAACAACAAGCAGCCTCTTTCCACTGTTTAAACGTATCATCTCACTCTGTATCCTAGACCCTAGTAGCATGAGGGTACACACATCCACTTTCTTTACGATGCTAATCCAGTACTTGATCATTCATTCGACAGCAACCAAGTAAACAACGGCAATTCGCAGCACAGTTAAACCATACTTCCACATACCAAATTTTAAATCTAATCATACACCCGACTCTAACCCTCATTCTATCTTCATTTCGCTTCAAACCAAACATGAACACCAGACTTTTAAAGGTAACCCTGCACAGCGTACTAGTTAGCTGCCCACGTGCACAGCGTACTAGTTAGCTGCCCACGTGCACAGCGTACTAGTTAGCTGCCCACGTGCACAGCGTACTAGTTAGCTGCCCACGTGCACAGCGTACTAGTTAGCTGCCCACGTGCACAGCGTACTAGTTAGCTGCCCACGTGCACAGCGTACTAGTTAGCTGCCCACGTGCACAGCGTACTAGTTAGCTGCCCACGTGCACAGCGTACTAGTTAGCTGCCCACGTGCACAGCGTACTAGTTAGCTGCCCACGTGCACAGCGTACTAGTTAGCTGCCCACGTGCACAGCGTACTAGTTAGCTGCCCACGTGCACAGCGTACTAGTTAGCTGCCCACGTGCACAGCGTACTAGTTAGCTGCCCACGTGCACAGCGTACTAGTTAGCTGCCCACGTGCACAGCGTACTAGTTAGCTGCCCACGTGCACAGCGTACTAGTTAGCTGCCCACGTGCACAGCGTACTAGTTAGCTGCCCACGTGCACAGCGTACTAGTTAGCTGCCCACGTGCACAGCGTACTAGTTAGCTGCCCACGTGCACAGCGTACTAGTTAGCTGCCAACGTGCACAGCGTACTAGTTAGCTGCCCACGTTCACAGCGTACTAGTTAGCTGCCCACGTGCACAGCGTACTAGTTAGCTGCCCACGTGCACAGCGTACTAGTTAGCTGCCCACGTGCACAGCGTACTAGTTAGCTCCCCACGTGCACAGCGTACTAGTTAGCTGCCCACGTGCACAGCGTACTAGTTAGCTGCCCACGTGCACAGCGTACTAATAAGCTACTTAACAAAACGTTTATTACCCAACTACCCCTAATTGATAGCAAGTATAATTATTTGTTCTGTTATTAAGACTGTTGTTTATACTATCTGTATAACAAGGTGTTATATAAAATATAAATACATTATGTTATATTATGTTGATATTTGTTTTGATTATTATTTGTTCTTTTGTTTTATCTTTGCATTAGTAATACCGTATATAATACATTTTTTGGTGAACTTCAGTACGTTTTAAAATGTTTTAAAATTGTTAGTAAATTTTGTTTTCGTAACTATATTTATTCAGGACGTTACAGAAGGAATTAATTTAATGTAGTTTGAGGAGTCCTCACTCTCCTCACGTCCAACAATGGTATTTCTCTTATCGCTAATATATGTAAAATTTTACGACAGAAAAATTAAACCTTAAACCCTAATTACGATTCATTATTACCCCTATCATTGTTAACCAAACCTTTATTCACAAGTTTGTTTGCAAATGTATATTGCTCAGATATTTGTCATAAGATCTTTTATTTAGATTAGACCAAATTCTCGTCCAAAAATTGTTCTGATTGTCACGCAACAAATCAGACCACGTGACTGCCCACGTGCACATAGTCACGTGACTGCCCACGTGCATATAGTCACGTGACACCCTACCCTGTCTGAGTGTGAGAACCTAAAATAATTAGGCCGAGTTGTCGGTCAGCGAGTTACTATTGATACTTATAAATCTCATATAAGTATTAATAGACCGTTCTGTTGGCATGTTAATTTGGTATGTTGAACGGACCGTTCAACATACCAAATAAACATACCAACAAATTACCTGGCTGTCGTTTGACTGTGCGATTTATGTTGTTAATCAACTGATAATAATTTCTGATCGGATGGTTGGAATCTGCAGTCTGAGGCACTAATATAGACCGTTCAACATACCAATTACCTGGCGCGGGCGGTCGTTTGACTGTGCGACTTCTTTTGTTAATCAAATGGATAATAATTTTTGATCGGATTGTTCGAATTTGCAGTCTGAGGCACTTCTTGGAGGTACCAACTACCAGCCTGGACTATTTATATTGTCCTTACTCCCACACTGGTCGAGTTGTCGTTTACGGTCTGATTACAGTAAGAGCATAGCAGTTCCGTTCATGTGAAATATTTGTCATTCAAATCTCAGACATTTAGTCATTGTTTTTCATTTTGTTCGGCTAGTCGAAGTTTCGATAATGGTTTGCTTATGATTGATCATAATGATTTCATTTGTTGGATATAATTCTTCGGTGACTCTTTATGCGTTTTAATACAGTGGAAATTCCTTCTATGCTAACCACCAACACTCATTTCCTTTATCTAATTATTTTTTTCTAAATTTTGTCGTAAATTTGAATTCAATCTTCACAGGTTCAAACCATTGTAAAATTTAAATTTCTTTTAAGAAGTATGGATTGAAAGTGAGGTTGAACAACTAACCCTCATTCTGGCCCAGGAACTATGAATGCGTCACACAACCCCCATGTCAAGTCCTACCCTGACTACCCGGGCATGAAGACTCCCTTCATTTCCCTTGATTACTCGCTGGGCTCCCTACTTCTTCTCTGCGCTCTGGTCGGTATCCCAGGTAACATCTTAGGAGCTACCTTCTTCACATCCACCAATAAGAAGGACCGGGTAACCTTGCTCTACATCAGCATTTGTTGTATTGATAGTGTTACCTCCTTCACTCACCTGCCCGTTACCATAGCAATGTTCAGAGGTAGAAGACCCGGCATGTTCAACAGTTACTTGGTCTGTGTTGTCTGGGAAATCCTCTACACAATCCTGCAGAAGATGTCCATATTCCTGGTTCTCCTCCTCAGTACGTCGAGGACAGTGGCAATAGTGAAGCCCTTCTACAAGATGAGGATAAGAACAGTGATGGGCTGTGTGGTGGGTTACCTGATAATCCTACTCCTAATACCCTTCCTGCAGTTCCTTATCCCTCCTCTCAGGGGCGAGTATAAGTACTCCTGGGACGGGGCCTACTGTTATTACAACTTTGAGATGAAGTTCGAGCACGCTGTAAACCTGGTCATGGTGGGACTGCCTCCCATTTTAACCTTCATTACCCTCATTGTTTCCATCACCAAGCTCTACTTCTCCGCTAAGAAATCTGTTTCTAGCAAGCCAAAGAGCCCAAGAGCCAGGACTATAAAAAGAATGAAAAACAAGGCCACAATAACGATAGCCATGTTCACCAGCCTCTTTCTAGTGTGCAACTTCCCTCTCTTTATCAACATGATGCACAACATGACAACCCGTTTCTTTGGGGTGGAGTACCCAGGTGCTTACTTCGGTACTCGGTTCATGTACTGGTACTCCTGGCACATTGCCAAGATGGAGAGTGTGGTGGTGAATGCTGCACTCAATCCAATCTTCTATTACTGCAGAATGAAGAGATTCAGGAAATGGTGTAACCTGCTCATCACCTGTAGGTTCCCCAAATCGGAAGTTTACCACACGCAAGGATTCACGCAGTTACAAGCCAGTGATACGGTTCAGCAACAAGTAGTTCGATCGGATTCTACTTCAGAAACAGGTCGTCCACGAACGCCTCGTCCTTCACAAGTAGGTCGACCAGTTTGTACTTCAGAAACAGGTCGTCCACGAACGCCTCGTCCTTCACAAGTAGGTCGACCAGTTTGTACTTCAGAAACAGGTCGTCCACGAACGGCTCGTCCTTCACAATTAGGTCGACCAGTTTGTACTTCAGAAACAGGTCGTCCACGAACGCCTCGTCCTTCACAAGTAGGTCGACCAGTTTGTACCTTAGAAACAGGTCGTCCACGAATGGCTCGTCCTTCACAAGTAGTTCGAACAGTTTGTACTACAGGATGGGTCCACCCTTCACAATCTGAAAATGTGATGACTGAAATCGACTGTGAAATTGACAGGTCAGTGTAAGAATAGTCATGAGAAAGTAGACCCTTGGCTGGCTGTGCCTTCTACTACATCTAGGAATCAGAGTCACCGTAATTCGTTATCTCAAAACTCTGGTTTGTTGTTATCTATATGAATGTAATGATGTAATATTGAATTGATAGTGAAAAATGTTTCCTGCAATGGTTTTTGCGCCGAAGGAACAAAAAGACATGCATATCTAGAAATGCTGACGTAATGACAAAACTAAAAAAATCCATTCCAAACAAAGCGCAAAAATACTATACAATAGCTTAATTCAATCGCACTTGTATTATTGCGTTTCTGTTTTGGGTACTAAATCTTTACATATCTTTATATTATATCTTTATTAAATTCCATATAGTATTTTTTTCTTCTCAAGAGAAAGCTATTCACGCTACTGATTTGGAATATCATAACTATCTCTACGACTATGAGTTGTTACATTGAGATTTGAGTCTGATTTTACCTTGAGTTTCAACAGAAGAAATGACTGAATTGCTCAATTGGACGTGTTGCTCCATGACTGCCTTCTTTTCCTCCCTTTCAGCAACATATTCATTCCTGAACACTGACACCTGAAATGTCAGCAGATAGCTCAATTTTGCCAGGATGATTCGTCATCAGAATCTCCAACTCAGAGCATTCTTTATGCGGCAAACTTAAATCAATATTCATGTACATTAAAATATTTGTTTAAGTTGATAAAAGATGCTAGCTCCTAAGTAACTAAACCAAAAATGACCTTGGGATCAATTTTCTCCCTAGATTTCCCCATTCCACTAGAGTCTATTTCAAATTCTGGGAGTGGTATTAAATCTTCAGTTTTTTCCGTCTCGCCTTTATCCACGTCTTCCAACTCGCTGTCATTTTCTGAATCTGCAGAGCTATCCGAGTAGTTACCAGCTATCAGATCCATCTGCACCTATTGTCATTTAAGTGCTATGGTAAATGGTAAGGTAAATATTTTGGGAATCTTAATTGTAAATTATGGCTTCTTCGGTAGCTATAATTCAAATTCCGTTAACTCTCAATTGGGCTGACATATTGAGACACACGAAAAATTAGATTAATAAGAGAAAAGCAATGAATTGAAATGACAAATATACTCTAAAGGGTCTAAAAGTGTTATTATTGAAGAACATGATGTTAAGATGGTGTGATACTTACGAAGGATATTGAATTGAAATCTTTGACAATCATAATAATACATAATACACCCTAGCTGTACCAATACAATATATAATACACCCTAGATGTACCAATACAATATACAATACACCCTAGCTGTACCAATACAATGTATTATACACCCTAGCTGTACCAATACAATATACAATACACCCTAGCTGTACCAATACAATATATACTACACCCTAGCTGTACCAATACAATATATAATACACCCTAGCTGTACCAATACAATATAATTAACATACCAAGCCAAAATAAATAAAACTGCAGAAAATTTAAGGATACATACAGATTACAGGGGGGGGGGGGCAAAAGTCAGTACCCATACGTTGGTTCTTATACCAACGCTGTGTTTTATATTTGAGAGTTGTTGCTTTGCAGATGGCATACTGTACCTACTTGTTCAAGGATTCCGCGACCAAAATTTTAAAATTCGATTTTTGGGGGCCACACCCAATCAACATTAAATTGCTTATACTGGTGTTTGTGAACATGTTAGAGACTCCATTGTAACATATTGCAATAGGTCATTTAATCCGGAATATAATGACAAAGTTATTGAAAGCAATTTGTTTATCTCATTAGCAAAATTGATTGGGTACTCAATGATTACCCAATTACGACACCGTAATTGAGCTCTCTGCACGATTCCCGTAATGCGGATCTAGCCTCAACCCAATCACCTGATCACACGTAATGAACAAACTCGTTATGCTTCATATCTCGGTCATCTGAGAAGCTAGAACTCTAATTTTTTTCAGGACAAACGTAATTCAAATGGCCAAACACCATTCAATAAAATTTGGCTCGATCCGACTATCCAAACTATCTAATAAATGCGAAAATGAACCTTCATTTGAAGAAAATGAACACGAATATTTTTCGATTTGACAAATTCCTCGAACCAGTGGTGGTAGTAAGTCATACCAAAAAGAATTATTTCAATTGGGTACACAATGATTGAGCTATTAAGGCCAACGTATGGCTGCTGACTTTTGCCCCCCCCCCCCCCTGGCCCTGTATATTAACAAGGACAAGTTTAGTGAGGTTTCGAGTAAACTTCATATTATCAATGATAAAAGTGTGGGTTGGCTTTTATCAAATTCAATTGAACAAATTCAATATGGGACAAAAAGCCTTTTTGACTACAATGTACCAGATTATTAGGTTTAACCTAAAGTTGGGCAGTTAGCATTGTTTTCTTTAAATAGGTTAGAAAGGTAGAACCGGGTACGGTGGCATTATAACTCAAGAATACAAATTCTTAACAACTGATGCAACAGAATATAAATAAATAAATTAGTCTGAATTTGAAATTGCACGTTACGTTTTAAAGCTTCTAGTTTAAAGTATAGGAATAAGATTGAAGTCGGGAATGCTCTCTTAATTAAGTAAATAAAGTGCTAACAAAGTATTTAAGCAACATGCATGTCACATCGGTAAATTCATCATTGAAATAATAATGCCCCAAACTAAATTAAAGACTATTTCAAATTCTGTCATTCCAACTTTTGTCTAAAGTAATGTTTGAAAGCAACAGGTATCATGCTCACGAAGCCCAGTCCGATCAATAAGATGAGTTGAAGTGGAGAAACCGCATCGCTGGCACTAGTCAATGTGTGTAATGTTTTCCCAGCCTGTATTGCCAGTAGCGAGGGCGGGGCCACACCTGCGGGAAATAACAGTTTACACTTTAAACAAGCTTCAAATTTATTTATATAGATAAAATATTCAATTACTTCTACAGGCGAACTGAGACTCCTTAACAAAGCAGTTTAGTTTAAATTTCTTTCATGGAGGTGCACAGTAGTTAAATACAGTAAAATAGCAGGTAAGATTCACATTAGATTACAACTAAAACCAGTACTATAAATGTTAATGGGCTCCAGTCAACATCGTGAGTTATACTGATAACGTATAGTACTATGTTTACAGTACACTACAATTTAGTGTACATAATATGTATTCACTTATAAAAATATGCAGTCTGCTAAAGACTCATTACCGGCTAGGCCCATAACATTCATCTGCATATTTATGACTTACATCAGGAGGCACTAAATGAGCTTAGTATTTCTTTTGATATCTATTCAGTCATTAAATGGTAAATGTGCAGTTAATCAAGGTTTGACTGGAGTAGTAAAACTATGAACATATTATATTAAACTCACCTATGAATGTCCCAAAAACGAAGGGAAAAACAGGAACACCAATAACAGGTGATGTCATGTTGATAAACCAGTTGGGCAGAAACGGTGTGATCCTCAAAAATATGATGTAGTTTAAAAGACTGTCTCTGTGTTTGTCAACCTGGATTTAAATAACTTAGGAGAGGAGAATAGATACACAATATTATCGAACACATTTCTTTTTAAAAACAACATGGCCTTGTATAGTGTATAAGAAATTTAAATGTAAGTACATGATTCACTCAAGTGTAATTAGAAAATATAACATATCTAAAATTGGCTATGACAATCCAATAGCTAAAGAAAGTTTAAGTTAAAATTGTTCTCAAACCTGAGCATTCCATGTCTGAATTCTTTCTGGAAAATACTTCATAACAATCTTTCTGCCAACCAATGAGAACAGGAGGAAGCAATTAGTTGCACCAAGAGCACTGCATGAACAGATCAGAAATAGATTTACTGGAAACGAGAACAAAAATCCTGAGAGAGAAGTTTACTACTATGTTTTTGGTAATTAACAATAAGAAATAGGCTTAACATACACAAGTAAATCAAATATTTTTGATTTTCTCAAGATTCAAGCAAATGATCTTACTTATTTTTCATAAGGATTACCTGAAAGTATAGACAAAAATATAGAACCAGGTATTGCAAAGGTTTGTAAGAATATGTAAGCAGCAAAGAAGAGGCCCATGACAGAATAGTAGTGTGTTTCTTTGTATATAGAAATCACTTGCCCCAATTTCTGAAAATTATTTTGATTACTGATTGTATAAGATATGATTTGTAAGAGACTGAAAATCGGACTTGCAATCGGAATACAAACAGTTGATGAGTTGGGCAGTATGAATAATCATATAATTTCTCACTACCAAAACGTAAAGATACATGCACTGTGTTACTTACTTTAGCATCTTCAATGTCACGTGGAAGTACTATGCTAGCTCTATGCTCAGGGGGGAGATCAGGCAAATTGGAATAGATGAGATACAGAATTGATACAGCAGCACCAAACACACCAGCCAGAATCACAAATGATTTTCTGCTACTCTCAACAGTCATTGCTAACTAGATAGAATATAGAATAGAAAACACAAGTATCTATTGTCAATATAATACCATTATATTATAATAATTTGTTATTGTTTAAAGAGTGACAACCATACTACACATTGAATTAGGATTCCTTTAAATATCAAATTAAAAATAATAATAATAACGCTTTATTTGTATACCGCTTAGGCCGTATAAGCGACCGAAGTCCAAAAAATGGAGTTGATACTGGCCAACAAAGCGGTGCAGATAAATTTACCTTAGTAGTCCCTTTTCTAATCAAAAATTCAAATTTATAAATTGTAGATTGATCTTAAAGTCCTGCGTCCATGACTACTGAATCACCAAAAATACTGTTCGCACATACAGGATAGGCTTGATGAAATAGATGGGTCTTGAGAGCCTTATTGTAAACTTGTTTACTCTGTAATAAATGGCACAAAATTGAAATTTTTGTTTAACTGTAAAGTGTGTCATTTATGATTATATTAGGTTCAGTCATTCTGATGATTTGCCTTAGATGTTTCCTGTAGCAAATATCCAGTTTATTCAATAGCTGCTCAGCAGCTACAATTGTACATTAAGACTGAGACCAGGCTTATTATAACCATTGATACAAAGGCCATAATCTTTTGCCAGCTCTCCAATATCCACCTTGAAGCTGCATTTTATATCCTTGAACTACGCAATATAAACTAAAGCATATTCTAGTGTAGACTTTTTGTCACAACAAGACTGCAACCTATAGTAACAACTATAAACAGAACCCTTAATGTCTGCTAACAATTTTCTTCTAGTCCTCATATGAGCTTTGTCTCTAAAACCTCACTGAACTAGCGTTTCGGTGTGTGCAAAAGCTTTCAGACACACGCATTCCTTGCCCCGTTAGTTACCTGTCCTTCCAAAACCAAACTAGCAATCAAGGACAAAAAGTCATACACCAAATGGGCATTATATTTTAAGAATTGTTTTACATCTTTTTATTCTGTTAAATGTGCTAAAATTAAATTTCTTGTTTCATTGAAATTTCTTGTTTCATTGAGATCAAGAAAGCCGTGCAGCTTGCAGCCACCTGGGTCGTTATGTTATCATTATATTATCCTTGCCGCGGGTCATAAATAGGAAAAAGGTGAGACCCCGAACCACGTAGCTGAGAAAATTCAGAGCAAGTAGACCAGTGGCGTAACGTTGCCTGTTGGAGCCCCCTCCCCTTTTGGTGCCTCTCCCTAAAATTGAACAAATTAGGTGATTTTAGAGGATACGCCGGTAAAATCTCTAAAAAAGTGTGTATATAGAGCAAAACGCGCAGTTTTGCAAGTACTTTAGTTAAGTTTTCGAAATTGTCCCACATTCAAACGACGATTTGGCGCCCCCCTAAGACAGCGCCCCCCTGCACAGTGGGGTCAGCGGGGCCCTTCGTTACGCCACTGAAGTAGACCAAAGTGGTTCTTGCTTGTGAAAGGTGCATCAACTAGCCACCGAAGCGGTGGGTTTGTAGTCCCCCCTGGGATCATTTTGTCAGTAAAATTGTACACAATATAACAACTACAATAAATTATCTACAATATTACATAACCAAATCTAGGATGAGGTTAAAGAATAGGCCTTGCAGTCCAAGCTGCTGGGCTGTTGACCTTCTATCCCCTCAGTGCAATGTGTTTCTTGACAGATCAAATTTTAATATTGTTCTGATATGATTTTTGATCTGACTCTTGGCTTCTTTTTTATCAGCTATCCTCTCAGAGACATGATCTACAAATACAGTGCAAAGAGGTCCCATACCTCCATAAGTTGTGAAGATTAGAGGGACAAAGAATTCTTTGACTGATCAGTGAAGTACTCTTTTATCAATTACAAATCTTTCTTTTTCATGCTCACTGCAAATTTTAATTAGTGGCTTAAATGTATAAGACGGGCAGTTAGGATGTGACCATATCACATATTATGTCAAAGAATGTTCTTTTGTCTTTGTTTTATTTTGATTATTTTCCTTTTAAAACCATCAACACGGGGGTTTGTCATTTTTAATATATTGTTTAATTGGAAATACGGAATACAATTTAAAGCTTCTTTCGCCCGAAAGAATTTAATTGGCTATGTTGATCTGTGTTCTTTCTCGGACAGTATAAAACCAAAATAAATATTTTTGCCCGAGCGTGCTAAATCACTCTACAGTCGATCTTCAAAATTGTTCTAAAAGGGCCCCCGACGGTTGTAACCAACTTCAATCGATGTATTTTCGGACGCTGATTCCGAAAAACTGTCTCGATCACGTGATATGACCGTATAAGGAAGTTAGTCTAATTTTTCGTTAGGGTTAGGGTTTCAGCATATTTTTTGTTAAGGATTGGGTTAGGGTTAGGGTTGGGATCAAATTAGAGGGTTAGGGTTTCGAAAAGTCGTTCAGAACTAGCTAGAGAACGGGTTGAAAAAGTTACGTAACGTGACAGTCGAGTGTAGAATGATTAATTATCATCATCCATTTTTGCCCATGCCGTGGGCTTGCCGCAAATAAATACGTGGCCACTTCGCAGCGGGTAGTTTGGTAAAGAAATTAACACGTGACCGGCTTTTTAGTTTATCACGTCATGTAGCGCGATGCGTTACTGTGCCGCGCACTCAATTATGCTTCTCGCAACGACTAGATCGCGAGATCGGCGACATGCGTTACTGTGAGATGCGCTACTGTGCCGCGCCGAGCTGCGATGAATTGACATCGTCAATTAATATCACATCGTGACCCTTAACGGTTGATACTCGTAAAATATCTGTTCCATATATTGGAACAGGACCGTCGACGAGTCCAACTCGGCGCGCGTCCAGGTAGGTTGTAAACCTACAATACAACGTGACCCCCACGGTCGTTTCACTATATACTAATAAAGTTTCTGATCTACGATACAGGGGAGCCGCGCACTCGTGCGCGGCGGGTCATACAACGTATGACAAATCGTGACGAAGTGAGGGGTTGTTCACCTATTACGTAATTAGCCGAGTGGAGGGGGGGGCTTCCAAATCACAAATGCTTACGGTTGATTACGTAATGAGGGGTTTTGGTCGTTTATTACGTAATCAAAATTTTGTAATTTTTTAAAACCCTCTTAATGGAATTATGACAATTTGACAATATTTTAACTCAAATTCCACTCTAATAGTGATCAAATTTAGAAATTGATCAAAAATCCGGCTATAATAATTAACAGTTTAAAAGGTGCTTGGCTGGATATCATAACAATGATTTCGGCTCATCATGATAGCATGATCAGGGTAGCATGACAGTACATGTAGCATGACAGTACATGTAATGCAGAGAAAAGAGTTTTCACGGGATAAAAGTCAAAGGGGGGGGGGGGGTGTCAGGCCATGATTACGTAATATTGCTGTCAGGAATTGGGTGCTTGGGTCTTGATTTAGGGGGTGCACGATAAAAATAAACTTGCTCGGATTTTAAAAATTTTTGTACCACTGTTTTCTAGAGACTGTGAGAATTTTCACAATACCAAATTTGTCATACCTTCTTGTATTGGAAAGATTAGTAAGTTTCGCCTAGGTGCCATATTTCATGGTGCGCGGCTTTTGGAGCAAAAGTAGCTGTAAAAGTCGCGTAATTTGACCAAATTTGACCAAATTCGTTGATTTTTGTCGTATTATTTGGATATATCTTCAGTTCCTTGAATGAGATCATTCTGAAAATTGGCGACGACCTTCCAATAGGGCTTTCACAACTGTCCGAAAAATTTGGTGGATATCGGAGTTGATATAGTGATGAAAATGGGGCAAAATGCGCTGCTTTTAGCTGTAACATAATATCTGATGGTTGGATATGCTTTAAATTTTTCGGACACTTTCCTTGTAAATTAATGAGTAAGCTAACCAATTTTTGTTGCAATCGGAGGTCGGGAAGTATACTGAATATCTATTTGTTTGAAGAAAATTGTGCTGGCCGAAATTAGCGCTAAAAAACCATCCTACAGTCGGCACGCGCGGCTCACTGTCGATGGCGCACTACCTACTTGATTGCGGTAAAAATTGTTTACGTAATATTGAATTGTCATACGTTGTATGACCCGCCGCGCGCCCCCCCCCCCTGTTGCCTGTATCGTAGTAAAACGACCGTGGGCAGTGGGGGTCTCGACGTGATACAAATATTGAATATGTGAACGACCCCTTAGCATTACAATGCGCGATGAAGATCTCCAGGTCGCAGAATATTTTTTCCAACTCGGCGCGCGTCTTGGTTGTTGGTAGATCGTTACTTTGAAGTTACCTTACAAGACATATTTATAACGTACGAAATGTGGCGGTTTTCCGAAAATTTCGCCATATTTTCGGACCGCCAAAATTTCGGTCGTCGTAATAGAATCCGTCGCATTATCTTTTAGCTTATTTCAATGACTGTGCCTTCACTGCTTTATTTTGTTTCTTAAAAGTAATATCAAGTAAAATAAATAAATAAATTCTGGCATCTTGGGACAAATTATCACCACACCAATGACGAATTGAATGTCAAGCAATACAGTTTAAATTTGCATTAAAATACACGTATGTGCTAACATGAAAGTCTTACAGTCTTAATACAGACTAAGTTTGAACATGATTTTGCCGAATTTCAGAAATTTCCTTACTGCTTACTGTCACAAAAAATGATGAAAAATACCCTTATTTTCTGTGAGTGTGACGTCCGAAATTTGACGGTTTTTGTTCAATTTCGCCATATTTTCGGACCGCCAAAATTTCGGTCGTCGCAAATTGGTCCGCCACAAAAAAGTCTTGTAAGGTATATGAATGTGGAATTCTTCCTATATTCTAAGAAATTACTTTAATAAACTCATATTCGTAATATGGGGAGAGTACTTTTTGCGGGGATATAAATATAAATATTTTTAATGGATTGACTTGAAGCGTTATACTGCAGTTTTAGTAAGGAAAACTAAAAGTAAAACTCCTTTTATCGCAGAAATAGATGGTGACGCAGCTGTGATAAAAACAGGAAACACGCAACAGCTTATAATAGTAGCACTAACAATTAGTGAAGTCAATCCCGACATCGGGATTCCCCGACGATTTTCGGTCGGGAATTCCCGACCGGGAAATTTTCTCAATCCTCGACTTTCGGGAATTTTCAATATTTGTATTAAAGTTGCAAATCTTAGAATGTCAATATTCGAATGAATTTACTGCAATATAGTTACACGGTAGCGTTAATCAGGTTTTTGAACGTCGTGGAGACTGTTAGCCTGTGTCGTCGACGTCAAGGTTAAGAAAAACAAAAATAAAACGATTTATGAGTTTTTAGACGAAACAAAAGATTCGTCCAGCAATCATGAATGCTTAAGCCAGCCAAAAAATACCAACAAGTGGAGATGAGTTGTTTCCCCCAACCAGGGCCGGGGTTAAGGGGAAGATCCTGGCATTTATGGACGCTGCTATAAAAACGATCAGGCCGTCCTGATCGATTGAGTCTGGACTGACCTTTTCAACAGCTGGCAGGACGAAGACAAAAGCCCGTAATACTAATAGAATGGGCCCAAGTTGTTTCTGCAACAGTAGTCTTAAGGTACTATTTAGGGGTCTTCACATATTACGTAATCAGCTGAGATGGGGGGGGGGGGGGGGAGGGGGTTTCGAATGATTACGCTAATGTAATTTTGACACAATAGTTATGTGTAAAACTGATTACGGAGGGGGGGGGGGGGGGGTAAAATGTTCCAAAAATGATTACGTAATTCGTGAACGACCCCTTAAGAAAAGAAGGCCAATGATGACACTTGTGGTATCTTCTTGTGACATGATGAGGCAGCTTTAATTGTACTATTGAACTTAAACAGTCTACAAGTACAACCATAAAATTAAAAGTTGGGTCATGGCATGGAGTTTATTACACCAAATAGGAATTAAAGATGAGTGCCATTTGCTTTCGGGAATCCCGATTTTCGGGAAATCCCGGCAAATTCCCGGTTTTTGGGAATCCCGATTTTATTTCCCGATTTTTTGTTGCTCGGGATTCCCGAATCCCGGGATTAATTATTTTGATCGGGATTGACTTCACTACTAACAATATTGAATATACTGAATCAGACACCGCTAACTTGAAGCAACCGTTTCAGAGGTATTTTTCCGGATTAATGAGGTCATACTTTATTCGGTCCCACAAAATCACTCGCCAGGGATTTTTAATTTTTATAGAATAGGCCGTGAGCCTATGAAATTGAAAGTATCAACATTCGATGTATTTTCGTTTTACTTTTAGTCACGTGACAGGCTAGTAGCTAAAAGCGAATTCGATTGTTTAGGGCTCAGGATTATGGTTAGATTCGGGGTTATGATAATTACAAGGTTTTCCGAAGCAGTATTAGCAACCAATGCAAGTCACGTGACAGCAGTGAGTTTCACACCCTCTGAGCCTTTTCGGAAGTTTATTTTAAGATTTGGGCGAGCGATTTAGTGGGAGCGGTATTTGATAGCACCTGTGATGGTCAGGTGTTACTACTGCTGTTACCAACCGCAATACGACACCATGAAGTATTCAGCTAGTGCTGTAGTTATAAAATAAATAAACTTATTATATTTAATTGCTTTATTATTATTTTATTAGAACTAAAAATTAACTGCCATATTTTATGTACCGGGTCCTATATATCTTTCAATCCTATAACATAATAACATTTGAAATCTAGAATCGAATATAAAGTTATCATTAAAAACTAGCCATTAATTAACTTTCTTTGCTCTTAAGAGAACCCGCTTCGCAAAATACAGTATTCCTATTTTACAACGAAACCAATTCCTCTCGGTTTCTACTTCATTTCCTCCAATTCCACACAGACACAAACCTACATAACAAGACACGTTTCCATTACTACACATCAAATAAATAGCCTATCTGATTCCAGCAACACCTAGCCAAACAACAGAACTAGATATCAAACAACCGCCCTCGCAGCTCGCAATATAAACTATTTTAAAAGTAATCAACTTATACACATCTAGTGAATATAACAAAGTTCACCCTACACTCGGAGTATCGTGTCACCCCCCTTTACTCCCAACTACAACTCCGCCCTTGCTCTTCTCCTCAGCCTTCTCCTCCAATCCCCCCGTTATCTGACTCACCAGCCCGTTCAGAGCAGACTTGGTCGTGTCCAGCAGAGCGCGGAACTTCCGGGCGGACAGCTCTGACCGAGTCTTCTCCTCGGACAGAATGTCTAGTTCGTTCTTACGGACCTTGACTTCCTCCTCCAGGTCCACATAGTTGTGCTTCACGTTCTTAGATTCCTCTATACCTGGAGTAAGGGGGTGGTTAAGGGGTGGTTAGTTAGGGGGGGGGGGGGGGGGGCAATGTTAGTTAGGGGGGGGGGGGGGGGGTGGGGCGCAATGTTAGTTAGGGGGGGGGGGGGGGGCAATGTTAGTTAGGGAGGTGGTTAGGGGGAGGGGGCAATGTTAGCTAGGGGGGGGGGGGGGGGGCAATGTTAGTTGTGCAACTTCTCCTGAATTGCGAGGGCTCTCCTTATCACCTTCCTTGTCGTTCACAACATTGGGTGTGAACTAATTTAACTTTAATCGAAGGGGTCGTTCACAAATTACGTCATGTTTGGCCAATTTTGATAGAATGGAGAGAAAAATACTAACGTTTCTCAAGTTTCTCATTGTGTCTCTCCAAGTCTCTAACTTTGCCCTCCAGCCCCGTCACTTTCTTCATGGCTTTTGAGAGGAGCTCAGGTAGTTCTGACCTCACAACGTAGCTACCTGTAACGGAAATAATATTATTAATATTAGGTGCTAAGTTAAGCCAAATGTTGGTGAATACGGGCCGTAATATTACCAATAATATTAGTTTGAATAAACTGGGAGTTCACCATTTCACACGAATATTAAACATGATATTATGTAGTACTTATCCCGTTCAAAACATGAACATAATCGTTAATATAAAGCAGCGACAGTGTAGTCATAGCAATAAGATAAGGCGATAACTAACCTCCGACCACTACGACGTCGTTTTGATCTCTAGGTTTAGCGAGGACGGGCTCCACGGATGCGGCACGTTCAGTGTGGGGGGCATCTGTTACATCTACCTGTATTTTATTATATTATCTGTATTTTATTATATTACCTGTATTTTATTATATTACCTGTATTTTAACATATTACCTGCATTTTAACATATTATCTGTATTTTATCATATTACCTGCATTTTATTATATTACCTGTATTTTAACATATTACCTGCATTTTAACATATTACCAGGTATTTTATTATATTACCTGTATTTTTATTATAATTATATTATCATATTACCTGTATTTTATTATATTACCTGTATTTTAACATATTACCTGCATTTTAACATATTACCTGTATTTTATTATATTACCTGTATTTTTATTATAATTATATTATCATACTACCTGTATTTTAACTTTTGAGAACTTCGTAAAAACCGAAGCTGGCACACTACGATGCTTGTCACACTATCTATATAGTAAAACTAACCTTAACAACATTGTTGCTAGCTTGGGAACCAAGTAATAATACTTCCTCGATCTCTTTCAACTTTACAGTTTCCTGTTGAATAACGTTAGGTCCGCCAGTCGACACTTTCTCACACAACCCTCTGTAGTTTAACTTGGACTTTCCCATCAGTACTTTGTCAAGTATTACCTGAGAAATAAAATTGAATATATTGAATTCAATAAAATTGAATATATTGAATTCAACAAAAAAAAATCTAAATCTAATATATTGAATTAATAAAGTCCCCTGATAAGGTGTTGGAATATCAAAATAGTGAGATAAATCATTTTAACGAAATAATGTCTAGATCTTCAAGAAGTTATGCTACCTTAACGTAAGAGCGACTGATGTTGAGCCCGATAGAGTGTACGAATAACGAAAGTGAACTTACCTTAACATAAGAGCGGCTGATGTTGAGCCCAATAGAGTGTATGAAAGTGAACTTACCTTAACATAAGAGCGGCTGATGTTGAGCCCAATAGAGTGTATGAAAGTGAACTTACCTTTATTTGAGAGCGACTGATGTTGAGCCCAATAGAGTGTATTATAGCCAGCACATCATCCTCCGTGAGATAGCCGGCCCTATATCTGTCGAAGAAGAGGAAAGCCAGCAAAAGGTCAGGCCTGTGAACGTACTTCTCCGGTCTGCGGGACGGTTTCCATGGTTACGTTAGTTAATAACAGTTATATTAGTCTGGTAAATAACAGTTATATTAGTCTGGTAAATACTCAGAATATATAATCATTATATACAGATAGATATCGGGGGTAGTGATTTAACGAGTTTCTTTTCTAGAGATGACTCAGTGGGAGGCATAATATTAGGTTGAAATGAAAATTTCAACACTTCTATATTTAAACAAGAATTTGAGAAGCAGATGAATAAGAAGGGGGTTTCCCTGGAGTATCTATGACGTATCACGTATTTGCTGTTATTAAATTTCCAATTTCATTCGAGCCAAATATTTTGCTTTTCACTGAGTCTACTCCAGATACAAAATTTTTAAATCAGTAATCATCAGTATGCTACTCCAGAGTCCAGAACTATTTGTTATTTAAGGCAAATAAGCAGTAGTTTTCCACAAAACCCATTTTTAGGTTTTGGTTAAAAAGCAAAGGTTTTACTGTCAGTGAGGACGGTTACCATGGAAACATTTCTTTTGAATATGCTACAGTTTTAAGGCCATGGTTAATTTCGTTTGATTTGGTTGCATAACCTTTCATCTTCTTAATTAGACTCAAGAAGTGGAAAATAAAGTACCTAGTTTCAGCACTACTCAAGAAGTGGAAAATAAAGTACCTAGTTTCAGCACTACTCAAGAAGTGGAAAATAAAGTACCTTTTTTTATCTAGACACTTATTTTACTTCGGTGTATTCCAACAGCCACAATGTTACACAAGTGCAACCAGCCAATTACAGGAAGCCGAAGGATCTTTTTGGCCAGTGACGGTTAAGGTAGTGTGTACCATACTTTCTTCGTCCGAGACTTTGCTGCAATGTGCAGCTCCTCATTTAACCCTCACACCCGATTTCTCGAGTATTCGGCTGAGTAGACCGGGGGCTGCATAGACCACTCATGATCCTTAGCTGAACGTCGACGACGCTCACCCCACGACCAGGCAGTCAGTGGGTTTCGAACTCGCAACCTACCGATTGTAAGACAGGCGTTCTAACCAACTGCGCTACCTAGTTTCAGCACTACTCAAGAAGTGTCAAATAAAGTACCTAGTTGGGGGGGGGGGGGGGGGCCAACCATATTAAAGTATATTAAAATGTAGGATTTTTCCCGATTTTGACCCGGGGATATACTTTAATATACTTTAATATACTTTAATATACTTTAATATATCCCTATCTCCTTGGAGGCCTACATCAAAAATTGTTGCCCAAAATATGCTTGAAATGCAATCCTTAATCGATTCCAAAAAGTTCTTGAAAAAATATTGAAAACTGATAGAGTTATTTTAATTTTAATGAAGTTATTTTGGCTAGTATTCTGAACCGAGATATTATGTGCAATTTTCCCAATTTTGTTCATGGAGGTCTTTTTACTTAGTATCCACTATATCCAACAAACACTGAGTTATATCTTTCACATAGAGTTAGTCTCATTAAAAAATATTGAAATTTTATCGAATTTGGGCAAAAGCGAATTTGGACAAAAGCGTATGCCCAAATATGGGCATATTTTTTAAAGCTCATAGCTCAGCCAATTTTTGACCAATCTGGATGGAAATTCATGTACTAGTCCTAAAACAGGCTTATCTTGCAAATCTGAGTGAAAAATATAGTTCATCATGTAAATCTTAACGAAGAATATAAATCTTCTAATTGTAGGTATATTAAAGTATATTAAAATGTAGGATTTTTTCCAATTTTGACCCGGGGATATACTTTAATATACTTTAATATGGTTGGGCCCCCCCCCCTAGTTTCAGCACTACTCAAGAAGTGGAAAATAAAGTACCTAGTTTCAGCACTACTCAAGAAGTGGCAAATAAAGTAACAAGTTTCAGCACTACTTAAGAAGTGGCAAATAAAGTACCTAGTTTCAGCACTACTCAAGAAGTGGCAAATAAAGTACCTAGTTTCAGCACTACTCAAGAAGTGCCAAATAAAGTACCTAGTTTCAGCACTACTTAAGAAGTGGCAAATAAAGTACCTAGTTTCAGCACTAATTAAGAAGTGCCAAATAAAGTACCTAGTTTCAGCACTACTTAAGAAGTGGAAAATAAAGTACCTAGTTTCAGAACTACTCAAGAAGTGCCAAATAAAGTACCTAGTTTCAGCACTACTGAAGAAGTGGCAAATAAAGTACCTAGTTTCAGCACTACTCAAGAAGTGGCAAATAAAGTACCTAGTTTCAGCACTACTCAAGAAGTGGCAAATAAAGTACCTAGTTTCAGCACTACTTAAGAATTGGCAAGTGAAGTACCTAGTTTCAGCACTACTTAAGAAGTGGCAAATAAAGTACCTAGTTTCAGCACTACTCAAGAAGTGGCAAATAAAGTACCTAGTTTCAGCACTACTCAAGAAGTGGCAAATAAAGTACCTAGTTTCAGCACTACTGAAGAAGTGGAAAATAAAGTACCTAGTTTCAGCACTACTCAAGAAGTGGCCAATAAAGTACCTAGTTTCAGCACTACTCAAGAAGTGGCAAATAAAGTACCTAGTTTCAGCACTACTCAAGAAGTGGCAAATAAAGTACCTAGTTTCAGCACTACTCAAGAAGTGGCAAATAAAGTACCTATTTTCAGCACTAATCAAGAAGTGGAAAATAAAGTACCTAGTTTCAGCACTACTTAAGAAGTGGCAAATAAAGTACCTAGTTTCAGAACTACTTAATAAGTGGCAAATAAAGTACCTATTTTCAGCACTAATCAAGAAGTGGAAAATAAAGTACCTAGTTTCAGCACTACTTAATAAGTGGCAAATAAAGTACCTAGTTTCAGCACTACTTAAGAAGTGGCAAATAAAGTACCTAGTTTCAGCCCTACTTAAGAAGTGGCAAATAAAGTACCTAGTTTCAGCACTAATTAAGAAGTGGCAAATAAAGTACCTAGTTTGAGCACTACTCAAGAAGTGGCAAATAAAGTACCTAGTTTCAGCACTACCCAAGAAGTGGCAAATAAAGTACCTAGTTTCAGCACTACTCAAGAAGTGGCAAATAAAGTACCTAGTTTCAGCACTACTCAAGAAGTTGCAAATAAAGTACCTAGTTTCAGCACTACTCAAGAAGTAGCAAATAAAGTACCTAGTTTCAGCACTACTTAAGAAGTGGCAAATAAAGTACCTAGTTTCAGCACTACTCAAGAAGTGGCAAATAAAGTACCTAGTTTCAGCACTACTCAAGAAGTGGAAAATAAAGTACCTAGTTTCAGCACTACTCAAGAAGTGGCAAATAAAGTACCTAGTTTCAGCACTACTCAAGAAGTGGCAAATAAAGTACCTGGTTTCAGCACTACTTAAGAAGTGGCAAATAAAGTACCTAGTTTCAGCACTACTTAAGAAGTGGCAAATAAAGTACCTAGTTTCAGAACTACTTAAGAAGTGGAAAATAAAGTACCTAGTTTCAGCACTACTCAAGAAGTGGCAAATAAAGTACCTAGTTTCAGCACTACTTAAGAAGTGGCAAATAAAGTACCTAGTTTCAGCACTACTTAAGAAGTGGCAAATAAAGTACCTGGTTTCAGCACTACTCAAGAAGTGGAAAATAAAGTACCTAGTTTCAGCACTAATTAAGAAGTGGCAAATAAAGTACCTGGTTTCAGCACTACTCAAGAAGTGGCAAATAAAGTACCTAGTTTCAGCACTACTTAAGAAGTGGCAAATAAAGTACCTAGTTTCAGCACTACCCAAGAAGTGGCAAATAAAGTACCTAGTTTCAGCACTACTCAAGAAGTGGCAAATAAAGTACCTAGTTTCAGCACTACTTAAGAAGTGGCAAATAAAGTACCTAGTTTCAGCACTACTTAAGAAGTGGCAAATAAAGTACCTAGTTTCAGCACTACTCAAGAAGTGGCAAATAAAGTACCTAGTTTCAGCACTACTTAAGAAGTGGCAAATAAAGTACCTAGTTTCAGCACTACTTATGAAGTGGCAAATAAAGTACCTAGTTTCAGCACTACCCAAGAAGTGGCAAATAAAGTACCTAGTTTCAGCACTACTCAAGAAGTGCCAAATAAAGTACCTAGTTTCAGCACTACTTAAGAAGTGGCAAATAAAGTACCTAGTTTCAGCACTACTCTCCGTTTTATCGGACTCGGAGTCCTTCCTTCCCCCGTCAGAGCTCTCCGTGTCGTTTCTCTGTCGTTTTACTGGCTTCTCCTCCTCCTGCTCCTGATCGAGAAATACTGGGTTTAGCACTTTTTATAATCCGCTATACTGGACAGTTATCGACCGAGTGCGGGTTTTATGGCCGAGGGGGACCATATTAAATTAAAACGAGGAATAACGAGGAACAGCTGTTCGGCCGAAGCCGCGAAGTGAGTTTGTTGTGTACTCGTTTTTAGCAGTATTTTAGCGTAGTATTTTAGGGCATATAATTATATTAGTGTACGACATTTAGTACAGCCGGGTAGTGCAGAAAGTTCAGTTTAACCTCTGTTTTGGTTACAAGGATGATAGTTTAAGAATTGTTTAGAGATTGCTAGAGAGAGTCGGAGATTGTTTATACTATCTGGGATAATTAAAAGTGGGCCTTTTGAATGGCAGGTTACCCTTTTTGGTTTGAATACAGCAGGAGTTTAGTAATCGCAAATCTGAATTTATGTTGAGGAACATTGAGACATTGTATTTACAATTCTTAATCACATATTAAATTTGAAGTACTTGTCACCTTCCTGAACCAAATTGTAAGGAAAAGACCGCTTTATCAAGTTGTTTTGCCAAGGCCGGGGAATTTTCACAAGAAATTATATCTGTTCTAGTATCTACCTGTCACCAAGTTGTAACTAGGTCGAACGAAGACATTAGGTCTCGCGCGTGAGACCTAATTTCTCCATTCGACCTAGTTACATATTTGATATTGGTGACAGTACAGAAATAAATTTACTAGCTGTATTTTCTTTAGTCATACAGATGATACAAAATCTATTGACAAAAAAATATCATAGATCTCACCAAATAAACAATAACTGATAATTTATAAGAAATAACAGAATGAATGAATAAAATCTGAATAAAATAACTTAAGTTTATAACGACCTATTTATAAATAGCAAAAAACGGCAATGGTTGATTTTACTTTTAAATAAATCAATCAATTTTGATCGATGGGCCTATTAATTAAAGTATCCAGCACAAGCATTCAGCTGTCATGCTAAATGTTTCCTATACGTCACTTTCTGAACTTGTACTAAGCATTGACTAATATAACACAGGAGCTAAGATAAAATATAGATTTTCTTCCCAAGATCACAAGTGTTCTCTCTCTCTCTCTCTCTCTCTCTCTCTCTCTCTCTCTCTCTCTCTCTCTCTCTCTCTCTCTCTCTCTCTCTCTCTCTCTCTCTCTCTCTCTCTCTCTCTCTCTCTCTCTCTCTCTCTCTCTCTCTCTCTCTCTCTCTCTCTCTCTCTCTCTCTCTCTCTCTCTCTCTCTCTCTCTCTCTCTCTCTCTCTCTCTCTCTCTCTCTCTCTCTCTCTCTCTCTCTCTCTCTCTCTCTCTCTCTCTCTCTCTCTCTCTCTCTCTCTCTCTCTCTCTCTCTCTCTCTCTCTCTCTCTCTCTCTCTCTCTCTCTCTCTCTCTCTCTCTCTCTCTCTCTCTCTCTCTCTCTCTCTCACTTGTCAAGTTACCACCTGTTAAACAGTGTTTAAAGGTGGTAACCACTAAACTATCCACTTGTTGTGGATGTTCCACCTGTTACAGAACAAGTTTCTCATCTGCTGCTCCCTACCATGTCTCAGTCCTTTATACCCCTTCACGTTCATCAGCTTCCCCACCCCTCTCCTGTTCTCCACTTGGAAGTCAGGACAGTACACTACTTTCTTCTCCGCTGCTTTTAGCCTCACGAACAGGTCCTTGTGTTCCTGAGTCTTCAGCTCGCTACTCCACCCTCCCACCTCCAATATATCCCGTGTTCTGGCTAGGAAGTCGTTAGAAGTCAGCTCACATCTCACACATGTTGGGAAATGTGGGACAGTCTCGTTAGCTGACACGCACGTTCCGTGCCCTAAATGTAATGTACGGGAATGTTTCTTACCGTAGCCGAAACTGAGGAAACCCGCGAAATCGTTATACCCCGCAAAATTGCCGCCAGCTAAAGTAGCGTCTGTAGTATCTAGAATATTAACGAGTAGCTCTATATCAGTAGAGTTAAGGAAGATGTTGTCATCGTCCAGCAGCAGGAAGTACTTGGTCTTAACTTGGCTCAGTGCCAGGTTCCTTCCTTCAGATATCCCTATATCCTCCTCCTTCCCAATTATATACTGCAGGTTAGGATACGTCGCTATCTGCTCCATTATCTCTCTGGAGTGATCCCCTACCCCGTCATCATATGCAATTACGGGTAGGTCTCTGTACTTCTCGAACTTTCTCATAGACTCCACCATTCTCAGAACTAAGAGAGGTCTACGAGCAGTTTTAGTAACCACGGTAACACAACGAGAGAGTTGCTGACACCTCTGTACTCTGTGAGGAGGGAGGGGTACAACAGGAGGGACTGCCTTATTAATACCACAAGCAGGGAAATCACACAGAGGATCTAGCACTGGGAACAGAAGATACTTCCTGCTCTCTTGAAAGGAGCTCTCCTCAATAAGAGTTACTCTGGAGGCAACCTGATGACATGTGGTCAGAGCTACAAGGTCCTGGTTTAACGGCCGGGAGTTGGGAACCAAACCCCCGTCAGATACAGCTACAGGAGTTAAACACTTCAGATCATGCTCCATTGAGTTGAGGTAGGTTGAATTAGAGTTCAAAACTAACTTGAGCGCTGATCTACAGTCCCCTAGTATTAACCCATTCTTTCCTAGCTGCACACATTTCCCATTATTTCCATCATTTCCATTATTTCCGTCAATTCCAAACATGACTTTACCATCTTGTAAAAGCTGAAAGTAATGTTTCTCTCGTGGATTACAGAAGATTACTTCCAACCGTCCCTCCTTAGAGGCCCCGATACACTTTCCCTCGAACCAGAGCTGGAGTCTGTACAGAAAGACCGGACTATCAGCTACAAGAAGGTTATTGTAACTAGTAGTGTCGAGGAGTGTGTATAATAAGAGTAGAGCGGCTGACAGGGACAATCCTAACAGAAGTTTCTTTCTTTTGGGCACTCCGTTTATCAGCAACATTAACACAGCCTTTCAATTGTAATTATTTTATTTAAATAAAATTGTATGTATATTAATTGATAATATTATATACTTCCCATATTTACATATCAATTAGTAAGGTCAACTAACAATATTATGGTTAACGTATACATGCGAAGAAATATCAACGGAGAATTAAAAGAAAAGGTAACACGCATTGCAGTAACTTGTATACAGTCGTACGCATTAAAAGAGAGGAGTAAATTAAACCACATGGAAATTAAGGTTGACAGTTTCATTATTTACAACGACATTAGTTATATAGAGGTAACCGGTATAGAGAGCCACAGTATATTAATATGGAGACTAGAGAGGCACAGTATATTAATATGGAGACTAGAGTCAGAGAGGAACATAAATATGTCTTATTATTATTATATTATAAAACAGGATCTTACCGACAAAAATGATTCTTAAAAATACCTTAATGCGGTAAACTGTACCCTTGAAAAAGATTTTCCCAACATCTGTTGCATGCAGCTATATCTTTAATTTCGTTCAATTCATACAAGTTGTCCATTTGCAAACTTCTACTATTTAAATCACTTCTTAAAACCGATAACAAGTTCATTCTAGGTCTTATCTGATTCAATAGCAAATGAGAGAGCCGTTTGGGCTGGGGTGTTCTCCATACTCCTGAGAATGTGTCCAAACATTTTCCACCGCTGGTGTTCAATACGCTTGGATAACTTTTCAACTTTGCACCTTTCATACAATGCTTTGTTGCTTATCATACCTTTAGGCCATTTGATGTTTAAAATGGACCTGAGGTGTCTACGATGGAGTGTGTCCATTTTCTCCATGGTTGCTTTCTTAGGACTCCAACTATTTGAGTTGTAAATCAATACAGATACAACTTGAGCATCGTATAACCTCAGCTTTCTTTCAAGGGATATTTTCTTACCAGACAGCCAAACTTTTTCAAAGTTCTTAAAAGCAATCTCAGCTAGGATTCTTCTTCTTTGAATGTCCTTCTCAGTACACAGTAAGGAACCTAGTGACTTGTTACTTCTCCATGGTTCGTTATTAGCTAATGGCTGACCGTTTGTATCTTTATCAGATTTTGTCGCTAGGTAGAAGGTACTGAATTCAGTTTTACTTTCATTTACTTGGAGGTTCCAGTCTTTGAGAATCTCCTTCACTGTAGGAAGGAAAATTCTCAGTTTCTCGATGTCCTCGTCAGCAAAGTCACAATCGTCTGAATATTCCCACTCAGTTGGAAAACCTAGTTCTGATACTGGTGGGTTTGGTCTCCCAGATACAGCTCTGAGGTGGTGTAAGGCTGCTGCAAGAATAAGTGTGAATAGCTTTCCAGATAAACTGTCACCTTGAAAGGCTCCGAGTAAACTTTCAAACTCTTCCGACAGTGAGGAGTTAACACGAACTCTAAGGAGAGTATTCGATAGAAGGTATTGAACTAAACGAATGTCGTCCTCCGAACAACCAGCATCTTTCAAAACATTGATGATAGTGTCCCTTTTCACGGTATCAAAAGCTCTACTCATATCAATACCCATTTTGCTAAATGTCCATAAATATGTCTGGGAAGTTATATACATGACTGTTCTAAACTAAGATTATCATAATCCATGGACAATGGCCGCCCTTGCTGACATAATAGCAACAAAACAGCTGCGTTGGTTTGGACATATCAGTAGAATGCCTGAAGATCGGTTACCCAACTATCTACTTGAATGGAAACTATCTACTTGAATGGAAACCCAAGCATGGGAAGAGATCAAGGGGCAGGCCTAGGAAGAGCTTAAATGATGTATTTATTGAGGATGCTGAGCAGAAATTGGATCGGAATGGACTCACGATTGATTGTATGAGAAGATTAGCTGCAGATCGAAAGGGATGGAGAAATGTTACCCGCCGAAGTTGTATAATACAAAGTAATGACGCAGTTGACGCAGACTAATCCTTTTGGATGGAGATCTCGCAATGTAACATGTGTGTATGGACAACGGTGCTTCTCCGCACAATATAATGTCAATAGTACATTATATAATAAGATAACAATACGGAACTAATATTCAACTTTTTGAAAGCCATTGTACCACCCGGCTGCACGGATCATGTCACCTGCTTCAAAATGCTTGGTTTAATTCGTAGTCACGTGACCACACGAACTGGTCTATAAAACACGTGAATTTCCCAGCTGCTGCACAAAGCTGGTCGCTAGAAACTCGAAATTACAAGCTGCTAGTTAATGTTACAATTACAAAGTTGGAGGCTAACTTTTTGTTATCTTATAAAGTAACATGGTTTTCACTTTTCTGAGCCTTCAGAAGCCGTGTACCGTAATAATAAAGACATTTTACACCATATTACTTTATGTTTAAACTTCCTAACCTGCACCTTTTTACACAGAGGTGTACCTAATCTTCACACCACGATTCATACTGATTCATACTTTGCACGACGTCGGTTTTCAATTCAGAGGAATTAATGTTAAAAAGGGCATTTAGAGGGCAAATGAAAAGCAAATGAAAGGAAAATAAAGGCAAAGCATACTGAAATGAGGACGCCATCACGATCAACACTCGAGTGGAAATAATGTCCAGTCTTACAACTAAGTTACATGTACTAGATGTACTAGAGTGGTTATCTCTACCTACTTACTCATTTTCTCTTGCTTTACAGACTGGTTTGGCAGTAATTCCAGGAGCTGACGTAATAGGTAGCGAAGTAAACGGCTAAACAGCCATATTTATAACAATAATTCATAAAACATAGCAGTATCTCATCCGACGGTGGATACTACGGCGGGGTACGGGGGTACACTACGCCTACGGCGGGGCACACTACAACATGACATATAATCATGGTATTAACATTAAATTACTCATGAGTCATGACTACTACAGCTACTACTACTATACTATGTTTACTAATGAACTGTTGCTTAAAGTGCTCAACTGACAATCTGACATGCAGAAACATTATATATCAAGCAAGTGGAGTTACAGTGAGGTTACAGTGAGGTAGTGCTCCTCAATCAAGCAAGTTCTAGTTCTACAGCAAGACAGCAAGTGGAACACTCGAAATAAATATTATAATTAAGGACATAACAATAGCACAGATTATTGGTTATGAAATTATTCGTCTTTTAGATGTTCTCTTTACTTGTCTTACACGTGTGACGTGACTCGTGAGGATAATTAAAACATTAACATTCGTGTAAGCAAGTATAACAAGAATTGCGCCGGTTAGCGGACGCTAGATTTCCATCGCCCGTAATTAATTACAATTAACGATCGTTTCATATTGGTTAAATTACCAAATTTCTTTGGGGCGTTACAGAGAACAAAATGGAGGGATTGCCGTTGTCAATTATTTGAATCGAAAGTTAAACGACCGGACACCGTATAGCGCAGCCTCTGCGGTGATATGCATGATGCAGTTAAAAGGACATCTGTCCGACAGCGACTCTTGTCCGACTCAATATGTTACCAGAAAAAAAAGACATCTGTCCGAAATTGTGATCTAATTGCAATACGACACATTTCCATTTTCCAATTAGAGACATGATCTGAACTGAGATATGACCTGAGCTGAACTCTACCATAGTTTATTTTCATAAAAAATTGGACAATAGTTTAAATGTTATATAAATAACTGATCTCCATACCGCTCTCCTGTGTGTAATGTAGGCTGTGATGTGATTGGCAGCTTGTTACAGCTTGTTAGTGTACGGCTAGCATGATCCTGTCCTCAAATAGTCAATCACGTATCGATGGATCAGATCTCAATGGATCAAATCAGCATTATATTAGGACTGTGGGAGCAACGTCACAAGATTACACGTGAGCTTGTGAAATACGAACGTGATCTGAAATTGCAAATGTGATCCGAAAGTTGGACAGATGTCGCCAAAAACGACTCCTATCTGACAGCGACTCTTGTCCGAAACCGGTAATTCGACTGTCGGACAGATGTCACCCAATCAAATCTGTGGTAGTTAATACAATGTGAATCATAATAATATAAAATGTATCGTTCATTTCGTCTAAATATAATGAATCAATCTATGGGCAATCATGTTCAACATGATAGTCATAACATCATAATTTATACAACAACATAACGAATTACTAATATCGGGTTGCACCAAGCACCCACAACAAAATGAGAAGTTTGTATCGCATGAAGTTAACGAAAGCTTAAACGACAAATATCAATGCGAATCAAAATGTATAATAGCGAAAAGAGATATACATGCGCGCCGTACACGATTTATTAGGTCGATTCTTGGTATAGAGTACACCTTGACATAAAAGCATTGTAAAACGCGCGCGCGACCATCAAAAGATAATTTGTAAAGGAGCACGTGTTTGCGGAGGTTAATGCATGTTTTGCTTTGTGACACGACGAAAAACCTATACCCACTATACCCATTCTCAAATCCTACCACTTCTAACCATCTATTGCCTTTTTAGGCGATGGAAAAAATACAAAAGCTGAACTTCGCTGTAAGCTCTGCCACAGCCTATCAGACACTTAAATGTAGTTTTACAATTCGCATGTTCAAATTATCAACACATTGTATTAATGCAGATACTTGCTATACAGGCAATTCATTGTCTTTTAAACTCATTTGACGACTTCACAAAATTACATTCATGTATTGACGTAAACATGTCAATGTAGTGCAGAGAAAGAATATCGCTTGTCATTTTAATATCATCATGTTGACGGTACACGTACTCTAGTAGTATGGGAGATATAATATATATATCTGTAACATCTGAAGAAGTATACGTACTCTAGTTCGACAAACCCTTAAGTTCGCTAGTTGTCGAATAAGAGTAACCTGGACTAGATTACGTGTCGAACTATAATACGTGAATGATTATAATTATTTATTTTGTTGTATTATATATTTAGTCGCGCAAAGATACGCCTCCATTTCTGAAAAACAGCTACAATTTTTAGTAAAAATAAAATATATTAACAGTTACTTGGATAACCAGTCAATAGCATGCAGTTACATGATATAATAGAAGTTACATGATAGAGCGCTTCTTGCTATCATAAATAAGATTGAAAGAAGTGAAAATGGCGTTTTAAAAATATATTTTCTATGAAGTGTACTAAATTATTAAAGAACATGCACGTGCTAAAGAAGATACACGTGCTAAAGAAGATACACGTGCTAAATAAGATACACGTGCTAAAGAAGAGCACATACCTCGGACTCGCCGTCAGCCTCAATGAGCGCTCTGAGGATGAGAAGAGCAAAGTGTCGCTGGAACATCTCCGTGAGCACCTCTGCAAAGAGGGACACTTCAAATACGCGCTCTTTCTTGTCAGACTTGTTATAGTCAAGTAGGGAGGAGAGTGTGTAGTCCTGGACTTCTACACCTGTAATTTATTTCATTAATTTTTAACAAATTTTTACTTATTTTTGCTAATTTCACGATTGAAATAGTGAGAATGTCTTTCGACCAACAGTATGTAATTTGTACATCCAATGTGTGATTTAGGAAACCACAGGGGTAAGCACTGGGCTCTAATGCTCTATATTATAGTAGTCACCCTAACCACAGCCCCATACGAAGAAGAAGAAACACAGCGCTGCAAGCTATATTCTTGTTCCTTTATAAAGCAGGCCGGAGAGACACATGCGGTGATAAGTTACCAGGTAACCATGTAACCAGGTAACCAGGTAACCAGGTAACCAAGTAACCAGGTAACCAAGTAACCAGGTAACCAGGTAACCAAGTAACCAAGTAACCAGGTAACCAAGTAACCAGGTAACCAGGTAACCAGGTAACCAAGTAACCGGGTAACCAAGTAACCAGGTAACCAAGTAACCAGGTAACCAGGTAACCAAGTAACCAGGTAACCAAGTAACCAGGTAACCAGGTAACCAAGTAACCAAGTAACCAGGTAACCAGGCAACCAGGTAACCAGGTAACCAGGTAACCAGGTAACCAGGTAACCAGGTAACCAGGTAACCAGGTAACCAGGTAACCAAAGAAGTTACATTAGCACCGACTTATTCTAGCACTGATTTACTTTCCAGAATGTTGTTTCTGAACAAAATAAGTTCCAACTCCCTGATTATTGTAATCTCACACACGGAACTTATATACAGTACTTGTAGTACTTATTATAGTAAATACATATAAAAGTAGTAGAATGGATCCGTCGCATCACTTTATTAGTAGACTAACTCTTAAGTCTATTTGGAAACAATTTACTTTTCCTGGTACAGTAAAACCGCGGAGTTTTGGGAAAAAGAAACATCCGCGGTAAATCGGGGTTCGCGGTAAATCGGGGTTTTGTTTGTTTACATTATGCACGTTAGGCCCTATTTCTAGGGGAAAGGAGATGGCCGCGGTAAATCAGGGTTTTACTGTACTGAGTATTCTGCACCTTGCCAATCACCGTAACTCTTTTCAACGTTTTTCAGGGATTGTTGCTCCACAACTCACTGTATCACTCCGCAGTCATTCCTAATTTGTCGTGCAAATATATGAAGAATCCAGTACGTGAGAAAAGGCCGAACTAATAAGATTAGAATTTAACATGAAATAACTGGCTGTCACGGCATTAGGGTGATATGCAATAATAAGGATGTAGAATATGCGGGCTTCAGACCCGCCTCTGGGACTGTTTCTTAACTTTTCTAACCTTAAACTTATGACTTTACTGTGTATTCCTTGTGAGTTTTATGAACTAGGAAGTGCTAATTTAATATATTTATCACGAACAAGGTTGCAAAAACAAGGATCTCAGAATTGTACATATTATACGTGAACTTTGCTATTCGTCAGTGTTTTGAGTGCGATCACTCTGATTTAGTCTAACCACAAACAGTAGCAGGAGTATATGGCTTGGGCTTTGATCAGGGGTCAGTTTTTAAATTCAGTAAACTGTTTTTAAATTTTACCTTCTCCAATTTAATAAAAAGATTTCAAAGATAATTTACAAAGTTTGGGGGGGGGGGGGGGGGGGGGGGGCAACCATATTAAAGTATATTAAAATGTAGGATTTTTCCCGATTTTGACCCGGGGATATACTTTAATATACCTACAATATACTTTAATATATCTCCTTGGAGGCCTACATCAAAAATTGTTGCCCAAAATAAGCTTGAGATGCAATTCTTAATCGATTCCAAAAAGTTCTTGAAAAAATATTGAAAACTGATGGAGTTATTTCAATTTTAATGAAGTCATTTTGGCTAGTATTCCGAACCGAGATTTTATGTGCAATTTTTCCAATTTTGTTCATGGAGGTCTTTTTACTTAGTATCCACTATATTCAACAAACACTGAGTTATATCTTTCACATAGAGTTAGTCTCATTAAAAAATATTGAAATTTTATCGAATTTGGGCAAAAGCGAATTTGGGCAAAAGCGTATGCCCAAATACGGGCATATTTTTTTAAGCTCATAGCTCAGCCAATTTTTGACCAATCTAGATGGAAATTCATGTACTAGTCCTAAAACAGGCTTATCTTGCGAATCTTAGTGAAAAATATAGTTCATCATGTAAATCTTAACGAAGAATATAAATCTTCTAATTGTAGGTATATTAAAGTATATTAAAATGTAGGATTTTTTCCGATTTTGACCCGGGGATATACTTTAATATACTTTAATATATGGTTGCCCCCCCCCCCCCCCCCCCCCCCCCAAGTTTATGTTGGAATGACAGTCATTATACCTGACCGTTACAGCCACAAGTTAGAGTTCAGCGCGTAGCTACCGTGGGGATTGCCGTGTCTTTAAATTACATTAAATCATCTTATAACATGGGACCAAGTAGGAGGGCCTACTACTGTGTACATACTGTATCTAGTAGATCTACTCGAATGGTCTAATATCTCTTGCGCAGTACACACATTGTTCAGTTCAACGTTGTAAATATTCCACAGTATCTCCTATCAAGGGGGGTTCCCATAGAAACAAGGAAATACACTGGGGAAGTGATACCAGCAACCTAGTTCTCTGCGGTTATTTTATTTTGTAAGTTCACTAATAACTAAGTTATTAAGTTAGTTATTTGTTCAGTTGGTTAGTGAGTTGTTGAGCTAAGTGGCTGAGTTAGTTAGTAAATGGCTGCAGTAAATAACCAGGCTTTTACAGTAGTAGTAGCTAGTAGTAGCTAAAATTCACTTAATATAATTCGCTTAATCCGTTCTCATTACTTTTTTTAAAATTATTTTAATTTCACAGGATAAGTTTTACTACCTATATTAGTATCAAATTTATCGAGACCGTTTTTTATTGTACATCCTATTAGTATTTGATTCAAATTTCAACGTTAAATCCACAGTTCTTCAGTAGCAATTAAACGCACTTTCTTTGGTGTAAGGGTGTCTCATCCGTATGTTGGTTTGAATACTGTGTTCTGATTGGCCGAGGTCCCAATAAAGTGCATCTTATCACCACTAACCGTTGTCATGCCACCTGTATCACTGCACCAATCAGACACTACTACTGCAGACACAGTACTACGCAACTAAACGCCTAACAGTTAGGTTGTAGTTAGAGGAAACGTCGCTAATTCCTCCAAATGTGCATTTTGACGTGCACAAGTAACTGTCACCTTTAATATGCATTCTTCACTACTGAGTCATTTCGCTACTTTAGTCACTTGCTCCGTTACTTCTCGTGTAAACAACGGAGCGTCAAGCGTAGGCTACAGACGGAGGGGGGGGGAGGGCTACAGACAACAGCGACACTAATATTGATACTGGTAGAAATGTTTGGATAACATCTCATCCCTTATTTTACAATCCATAAAATAATATTTACAATTAGGTGTGAACCTATGATAATTTTAGATCGTTTTCAGTTTTTTGCAATATTCCGTGACGCAAAAGATCGGTTTGTTTACTTATTGAATCAGTGGCTGGTACAGGGGTGTACACTGTACAGGGGCTGATCGTTTTTTATTACGTCAATCTGACATTTATTTAATTAGCGGCTATTTCATCAGTCACGTATCTAATGATGATGCACATGAAGGCACATGAAGGCGTCCATCCCATCTTCAGTTATTACCACCTGACAGCACCTTACTTCACATACATGTAACATTGTGTAACAGATCGTTTGCCCGCCAATTTGATTGTTTTCAATTGTTCGAAATATCTATACTAATAATACCAATAAATCTGTGTGTGTGTGTATGTGTGTATGTGCGTGCGTGCGTGCGTGGGTGCGTGTGTGTGTATGGGAAATTTCCGAGCGACTTAGCGACTTAATCAAGAAAACGGAAATAAGCCAATAAGCAAATCTTTTAAAAATCGACCGGTGGTAAGTAGATTAATTGATAGTTTTGTACCATAAATATGACAACACGGCTCATATTATGTGGGTGTGTACGTGTGTAATTTCCTAACGGTTTAATCAAGAAAACGGTAAGAGTTATGGGACTGGTTTTTCCGGTATAGTTTCTAAAAAACTCTGACGAAACCAATAAGCAAACTCTTTGCGGGGTTTGACAGGTTACACTAGTATATACTAGCAGGAACCCGTCTAACCCTAAAATGGTGGAACCCCAAGTTGTGTCAAAAACGCGAATTTATTGGGTAATAATTATTTTAGTCTCTTGAGTCTTGACACCACTTTAGGGTTAGACGGGTTCCTTGTTAGAATACGTAACTGTTAGCGCATACACAGGATATAGGATACAGGACAGTAAACACAGGGTATAGGATACAGGACAGTAAACACAGGATATAGGATACAGGACAGCATACACAGGATATAGGATACAGGATAGTAAACACAGGATATAGGATACAGGACAGTAAACACAGGATATAGGATACAGGACAGTAAACACAGGATATAGGATACAGGACAGTAAACACAGGATATAGGATACAGGACAGTAAACACAGGATATAGGATACAGGATAGCATACACAGGATATAGGATACAGGACAGTAAACACAGGATATAGGATACAGGATAGCATACACAGGATATAGGATACAGGACAGTAAACAAACAGAGCAAAACAAAAGAAACTGTGTTAATATATATAACGAGTAAACAATCAACAAAATAACGTTATAATTCTGAGAATTCGTAGGAAGTAAATCTTAATTTGATTGGGTTTTCTCAAGTGAGAGTATAATATAATATGATAATAATATATCATATATGATGTTTCTTTTGGAGAAATCCAGTTTCAAGAGTGCTCTACCCGGGAGGGGAGCATTGTACAATGAAAACAACGATTCTACAAACTCAGAGTTTCATGCAAATGCAATCATCAGTGTCAGAATAAGTTTACTAAATTAATAAATCCATGTTTTCCTTACAAGCTCCTTCATAAAATTAACTTAACTAAACTAAATCAAAAACAAAATCAAACGAAAAGAAACGAAATTGAAACGAAAATGAAATACAAGAACAAAAACTAAAATTAAAATAAAATATTCCTAAAAGCATTTCTTCAGCATAAACTTGTTGGTGTGCCTACATTTACTTATGAGTTCCCTCCTCCTATTTAATAGATTGCCATCTTTATTTAAAATAATATAAAGGGATTTACGGAACAGCACTTAAAGAAAGCGGCCACGACCACCAACTAGAGTTTACAGATACTAGCACCGCCTTGCCACGAGCCAACAGGAAGAGATCCAGGAAGATCATATGGTTCAACCCCCCATACAGCTCAAATGTAACAACAAACATAGGCAAGAGCTTCCTCCGATTACTAGACAAGCACTTCCCCAGAGGACACCAATTTCACAAAATGTTCAACAGAAACACAATTAAGCTATCATACAGTTGCCTACCCAACGTAGGATCCATCTTAGCGAGCACCAGACACCAAGCTCAGAAAGAACCTACAATTAAATCGAAAACGTGCAATTGCAGAAAGCCGGAAATGTGCCCACTGAACGGACAATGCCTGGAAGCAGCAGTGATATATGAAGCAACTATTGCAGTGGAAAATGAAAAGAAAGAGCACAAATATATTGGGCTTACTGAAAACACTTTTAAGACCCGTTTCAGTTCACACACAAGCTCTTTCAAACTCGAGAAGCTACGAAATCAGACGGAGCTATCTAAGAAAATATGGGAGTTGAAAGATAAACAAACACCATATAAAATATCTTGGAAAATAATCAAACATGCTCATCCGTACAAGGGGGGTACGAAAGATTGTCATCTCTGCCTTACTGAAAAACTTTATATTATTTTAAATAAAGATGGCAATCTATTAAATAGGAGGAGGGAACTCATAAGTAAATGTAGGCACACCAACAAGTTTATGCTGAAGAAATGCTTTTAGGAATATTTTATTTTAATTTTAGTTTTTGTTCTTGTATTTCATTTTCGTTTCAATTTCGTTTCGTTTCGTTTGATTTTGTTTTTGATTTAGTTTAGTTAAGTTAATTTTATTAAGGAGCTTGTAAGGAAAACATGGATTTATTAATTTAGTAAACTTATTCTGACACTGATGATTGCATTTGCATGAAACTCTGAGTTTGTAGAATCGTTGTTTTCATTGTAATATATCATATATATATATATATGGCCATACATAATATGTATATACATTGTACATTATACATATACATTATACATTATACATTATAAAATATACATACAGTGTTATACTATGGAAGGTGTTGTCTGCTGACAACGCTCTAACCGGTAATACAAAATGAAATGACGGGTTCCCGACGAATCATTTAGTTTTGATCAATTAAATATCACTATATACTCTATAATATAAGTAACCTACTGGAAAGCTTTCACACATACTGAACTAGTATTGGTCTTACGATTCAAGCTAAACAAGGTAGATGTAGTGTAGGTGAAGCTTCCTAAGATTCACAAGTCCTACTATATACCCTCTTATTTCAATATAATCAAAACAAATTGTCAGACTCATTCTGTTGTACCTGGTTTTTCAATATCAGCCTGCATTTTGTGAAACTTGTTTCCAAGATAAGACAAACTAGGAACCGTGACCGCAGGGCAGCCGCGCCCGTATTTGGTCACTTTTTGGTCCACTGCCAATTCCCCTGAACATACTACTATATCAACAACATTTTAATAACGTTGTTTTTCCGAGATTTATTCGCAAACTCATACCATAACCGGAGTATAACATTTTTATAGGTTTTATTTCGTCGGAATTAAACTGGTCGGGGTTTAAACTTGTTTTTAGCAACTAAATTCTAAGCAGTGACTCACTAGTGTATATATAGTGTATAATATATTTGATACAAGAGAAACGCCATTTTCGGACGTGAGGAGAGTTAGGACTCCTCCAACTTCATCAAATCAATTCCTTCTGTAACGTCCTCAATAAATGTAATAGACTTGTAGTGTTGTAATTAGTTTAAAATATACTGCCTCACTAGTGTCTATTGCCTTGCTACTACTTTCGTGACGAGTTGACAAGTGGTAATGAGGTAATCCCACAGTGGGTACATAAGATTATATCTAATATAATGTATAAAAATAGGTACATAAGATTATATCCGGCAAAACGTTATATACTATTTAACTACCGACTTGTTTATCGTGTACGTGCTTTATAATCCAACTGCATTTAAATTAAGTCTATAAGTTACTGTATTATAATTACACGTGTCTTTCTTGCGCGTTTCTTGTTCCTAAGGGGGCCAGGGGAAGGAATTGCCATACAATTACCCAACTCTCCGTGATATCTGAGCAGTTTCCACATACTCTTGCAAGATCGAGTATTTTGACATTTGTTTGCTGTAGCCTCAGTGTTTTGGCACGATATGTAGAAAACTATTATTAATGTATTCAGTATTCAGTATTCAGTGTTCAGTGTTCAGTGTTCAGTGTTCAGTGTTCAGTGTTCAGTGTTCAGTGTTCAGTGTTCAGTATATACAGTATTCCGTATTTAGTATTTAGTATTTAGTATTCAGTATTCAGTATTCAGTATTCAGTAAATTTGATTAATTATCCTACGAAAAAATGCCTACTGACTTGTTAATTTGAATCAAAAGTGCAGAGTATGTACTCTAAGGGTTGAGCAGACAAATCTTAAAGATCGTGTTTACTTCTTAATGTACAGCTATGATGAACAGAGTTGACATAGATGCCCCTATATCTATCATATTTCTAGGTCAATTAAATTCTACTGATGGATTATATATACGCTAATCTAACTGCGTATAATGCGATTACACTATTAATTGCACGAGGCGCAGCCGAGTGTAAATTGATATAATAATCGCACGAGGCGCAGCCGAGTTCGATTATTGCAGTTATTTCACGAGGCGAAGCCGAGTGCAATAACTGGTGTTATCGTATTATAACGTGTAGGTCAGCTAGCTGTACTATTTAGTACCACAGTCGGTACAATGTCGGTCCTCCTTTCTCACAACACATAACATACTACACAATACACAGTACACAGTGAACAGTACAGAGTATAGAGTACAGAGTATAGAGTATAGAGTATAGAGTATAGAGTACAGAGTAAGGAGTACAGAGTACAGAGTATAGAGTACAGAGTATAGAGTACAGAGTACACAGTACACAGTACACAGTACACAGTATAGAGTACAGAGTATAGAGTACAGAGTACAGAGTACACAGTACACAGTATAGAGTACAGAGTATAGAGTACAGAGTACAGAGTACACAGTACACAGTATAGAGTACAGAGTATAGAGTACAGAGTACAGAGTACAGAGTATAGAGTACAGAGTACAGAGTACAGAGTACAGAGTATAGAGTACAGAGTACAGAGTACAGAGTACAGAGTATAGAGTACAGAGTACAGAGTACAGAGTACAGAGTACAGAGTACAGAGTACAAAGTACAGAGTACAGAGTACAGAGTATAGAGTACAGAGTACACACTGAAGAGTAACCGAATGACGAAGTTTCACGTGAAATCTCCGCTGCTTTCTAAAAAGCCCATGTGTTACAAAAGTAAGCCCGCCAAGATGATGTAATGAGGTAATCCCCCAGTAGAACATATTTCTTGCATGTGAAAAGATAAGAAATTTTCCAGAACATAACTGAGATTGATGCCAATAAAAGAATTTTCCAGAACACAGCTGTGACTGTGACCAATTGTAGAATATGCATGTTAGTAAAGATGACCGAACTTTTAGTTGTTTGCATCAAAATATTGGTGTAGTGAAGCTTGCTTATTAAAACATGACATAGCATGCTCTGTCAACCACGTACTAGCTTACAAAACTGTTTGTAACACAACGGTTTGGTGACTTGTGTTGTGTCCAGTTGCACTACTACTACACACAGTTCTTCTTTTAATTATGGTTAGTTCGACGCAGCAGCTTTATTTGGTCTTCACATTTTAAAATACAGTTCCTGACACGTGTAGTAGTGTAGCCTTGTTCTCAGTTCCTGACACGTGTAGTAGTGTAGCCTTGTTCTCAGTTCCAATGGAATATTGTATCTGATACTACTACTAATATCGTATCTGATAATAGTTAGGTTACACTATCGCTTTACTTCTTGTGTGTGAATATTAAAGTTTAGTATGAGCTGTCTTACTATGCAGTACACAAGTACTTTACACAGGTACTCAGGTACTTTACACAGGTACTTTACACTGGATATTTTCGTATTACTTCCCAGATCTTATTTGCATTCCACAGAATGTGGTTACTGTTATTAAGCGCCTTTGCTTTTGTTTAACTAGTTTTAACCATCAAATTCCTTCTTAAGATTGTATTATTTACTGACTAGAAACTCTTTCACTACACAAACAAGCTAAGTTAAGTTCACTTATAAACATGTCCACTAAAGAAACTTCTTCAGGAGTAGTAATGTCACGGGTTGAAGTACCGGCAGATTTCGGAGTGGAGAATATTGACTCTGTTGTGCACGGAAACGTTACTCTACTCCTCTCCGACGGGCTCAACATGAAGGCTAACTCGATAATCCTGGCCTCCAACAGTCCTGTCTTTAAACGTATCTTTATAGAACAAGAGCAGACCACTGTGGACTTTAAGACGTTCGATGCACAAAGTATAAGGTTGTTTATAAGGTCCCTGTACTCTGGAAAGTGTCACTTTGCTCTGATGACAGTGACAGAGGTTGATGAAGTGATGGAGGCTAGCGAGGCTATGGATGTGGCCTGGTTAAAAGTTAGATGTGAGAAATACTTAGCAGAACACAGGAACTCCGTGTTTCCTGCTGTTCCTATTATAGAGAGACCATCTCGTCCCAACTCTTCAGCCAGCACGTGTAAAGACAGCACGTGCAAAGACAGGACCTCAGAGAGCAATGCTAACGAGAAGATCATGAAGAGATCACTATCTGATCTAAAGAGAGAGCTGAGTGGAATAGATCTAAAGTTAAAGGCCACCACTCCTTCTTCAGAGGAGATCCCCACCACTTCAGATGAGACACGGACTACTAGGTCAGATGAGAGTGTAGCTTCCAGAGGGAGTAACACTTCGGACTACAAGAGGATCAGGAGAACAGTACAGTGTAGCTCAGAGAGCTCCTTATATGGACATCACGTGGAACTGGATAGCGCTGGGGAGAGAGGAGGCTCTGTTAGTAAACGACACCGATACAGTGACTCAGACACCAAGCACTCAGATACCAGCTCGATACACTCTTCCCAAGGGAACATGAACGAGAGGAGACGTAGTCTCGTGTCCCTGGTCACTACACCACTCACACTAAAAGATCTGGAACCTGGAGAGACGGTGTTTAGAGATTGTAACCCCGAGTTACCAAACCTGTTCCACAACTTCACAGACACTCTGGGCACTTTAATTAGGAGTAAAACTAAACTGGGGGATATTTTAGAGGTACTAAAAGGATGCAGAGAGGTGAAGAGTCTGTACATGTTGTTTGAAGCGCTGGATTTGATCGAATACAACAAAAATACACTGTCAGTGTCAGATCTGAAGTCCATCTCAGAACTACGTAGAAGAAAACGGTGGGGCAGAGTGTCTCCTCACTTTCTTGAAAACTGCTCCTTTTACAACCGCCACTTTGTAGACGCAGAGGAACTTGCTAAAGAGAGAAAAGAGCTGACTTCCAGGAGTGATAGTAAGAAGATCCCGGACTCGCTGCCTCCCTACAGTATCCGACTAGAAGACCTCCTCAGATCAGTCCGAGTGGTCGAGTTCCAGTTCAAACACCCTGACATTGAAAGCTGCACTAAACGAGGCAAGTGCGGGTTCCTGCTCCAGCTGACCGGGGAGACACAGAGGAACAGGGCTACCCAGCGAGACAGGTCCACTCTGCTCCACATCCGACTACTGAGGAACGCCAGGTTCTACACCAACTCTAAAGTACACTACCACGAGGAGGTGATGAGCCCGGAGAAGATGCACCTGGTGATAGAGGAGCACTTCACCACAGCTACTAGCGGAGACAACAAGACCACCTATATCTCCTGGCGGGGGAAACCCCACATGGACAGAGGGCACAAGTCGGAGAGCGTTACGTGGGGCGACCTGCTTATACCCAGTCAGAGGCATGTCAAACTGGTGGTTTATTACGATGTTACTAGTTACAAGGCTGAGAGAGCCTCTGAGCCCAAATTTAACCGGTCAAAAAGAAAGAGTAGACCTTGTTAGAGGACCATGTTTTTATATTTTGTAAAGTTAACTCAATATTTTGTAAAGTTAACTGATGTTAACTAACTCAATAAACTCAATGTGGGATTTTTTGTTTAACTACGAAAAAAATTGCAGAGCATGTAATTGATATTGGAACTTATTTGATTTGATAAAATTGGTTTTTATCATGTTTTTATATGTAATAAACGAGGTAATTATGTTTTTTTTGTAGTTTTATCCGTGTAAATTAATTGAGTGATTATGTTTCTGTAAACATCCATCGAATTGAAATGGTAATAAATTAGATCATTGCAAGATCTGTGATGTACGATAAATTATACGACTACAGTACCGGCCAATTTTTTAAACATTTGCACATTGTTAGTATTGATAGTGAAGTCAGTAACTTTGAAACCTGTCCTAGAAAGAGCTAGAGTTTTCCTTGTCCTTACCAATTGGTGATAATAAGAAATTCTGAAGAGTAATGAAACCCAGCCTAATAATATTAAAGTGCTAAACTGAAGACGTACCTTTAGCAGGGTGCAGCACAACAGAAGTGCTAAACTGTGCTAAGTCACGTACCTTTAGCAGGGTGCAGCACAACAGAAGTGCTAAACTGTGCTAAGTCACGTACCTTTAGCAGGGTGCAGCACAACAGAAGTGCTAAACTGAAGACGTACCTTTAGCAGGGTGCAGCACAACAGAAGCCAGATCAGGTAGTTCAGGAATATCCTTCTCCACAATACCCAGTCTGGATATCAAGATATTCATCTTCTTCTGTACCTCCGGCTGCAGTTTCCAGTGCTGAGCTGCTGTGGTAGTGTCGGCTCCTGGTTGTGGGTCTGAACACAATCCTGTTAAACCCTCTGTCTCGTCCTTTATTGCTTTCTGCAGTCGGGCTATCAGCTGTATCTTCAGTCCTTTAGTACTTAGTCCACGTCTGTCTAACTCACTACGCAGCTCCGTTACCTGGGAAACGGGAATATTGTTACCTGGGAAACGGGAATATTGTTACCTGGAAAACGGGAATATTGTTACCTGGGAAACGGGAATAATGTTACCTGGGAAACGGGAATATTGTTACCTGGGAAACGGGAATATTGTTACCTGGGAAACGGGAATATTGTTACCTGGGAAACGGGAATATTGTTACCTGGGAAACGGGAATATTGTTACCTGGGAAACGGGAATATTGTCCAAATTAATACTTCTTTCTAACGAGAGGAAAAAATGTATTTAAAATCTGCATAATTAATAAGGTTTGAATTGTAATGATGTTAAGGGCTGCACCTTCATAGCCTTAATGTCTGCCTCAGTAAGCCCCTCAGTACCCTGTCCCTCCCTCGAGGGGGGTTTCTCAACAGAAGCAGGTTTCTCTGTGGTAACTACTGTTGTAACATCTGTAATAACGGCAACTTCCTCCGCTCCTTCAGAGCTTGCCACCTCAGGGTCGTCTCCCTCGAAATCTATTTCCTGAATAAGGATAGGCTTTAAACTTAGTGAAGTCAATCCCGATCAAAAAATTCAATCCCGGGATTCGGGAACCCCGACCAAAATTAATCCCGGAATTTCCCGAAAATCAGGATTCCCGAAAGCAAATGGTGCTTTAAATCTTTAGGTCCCATTTTGTGTAATAAGGGGTCGTTCACATAGTACGTAATCAGCCGAGTTAGATCAGGTCTTAGAACCATGTCGTGTTAGTCCATCACATTACAAACGCACAGTGCAGATGGACGGACGGACAGACGGACAGACAATGTACTTACGATCTGACCAGCGGGAGTGAACTCTGCATCTATACTATCTTCTACTTCTTCTGTCTCCTGTTTCTCCTCCGAGGGGGGAGGAGTCTTATAGACCGGCCTTTTTAATATATCCCAGTCTTCCTGTAGCACAGTTTTATCTTAGTTTACGTACTCTATACTCAGTTATTATTCTATAAAAACAGAGGATCAGTATTGTCCTTATATGGGTATCACGTGAACACATTAGTATTGTTTTGAGATCTAACCTGACTGGGCTGGCAGTCCCAGATGCTGGGCAGGTACATAACTGTTTTCTCCACATGCTCTTCTGTGTTCCTCTTGTCGTTAACTCGGTGGTAATGAACCTGATAAAACATAATTAATAACAGAAAGTACAAGTGGCATTACAAAGTTACAAGTTTATAAAAACCCCCATCATGATAAGAATAATAAATTACCGTTAAAACTTGAATATCCGGATATGTTTGGTCGAGGCCCCAATTAAACATGACCCAGATCGGGGGCCTGATCTAATTATTACACTCACCTCACAAATCTTGTACCAAGTCTTACAGTACGACAAATCCAGACCTAGCTGAGCTTTAACATTGCGAATAGCGGTGTTGATAAGAGTCTGAGGATTATTCTCAGGATCCGGTCCGTCTAGCTCTGCACTCCATGTTCCACCTGAACAACAGACATGTGCAAAACGGGGGATAAAAACACGTGCGAATTATCTGTTGATGTAAAATCTTGGCAAAATAGTTTTTTTAATTTGAAACCCCGTTCTCCCCGTAATACCATACCAAAAGCAGTTATTTCCTTGTCGCTATAGTTGCACCAGAAGCTGATTAGCTTTAGGAAGTGCTCCTTTTTGTCGTTGAGAATAGTGTGGTACAACTTGGTCTTACTAACGCTCCGCATCAACAGTACTTTTGATCTGTAGGCTTTACTGCCAGCAGTCGCTGCTGGAGTCTGAGACAGTGTAGCGTTAGTACTGCGCGTGATGCCCATATAAGGAGCTTTAGTGCACGTGATGCCCATATAAGGAGCTTTACTGCACGTGATGCCCATATAAGGAGCTTTACTGCACGTGATGCCCATATAAGGAGCTTTACTGCACGTGATGCCCATATAAGGAGCTTTACTGCCAGCAGTAGTTGCTGGAGTCTGAGACAGTGATCATTTGCCAATTCAATATTCAAATTGCTTTCCAAAAACTACTTGGAAGTAGGTGGCATTCGATAAATTGATTAATTAGTCGATAAGTTAACTATTTATTTATACCTGGGAGTAGCTGGTGACGTTATACCGGATAATGTTTGTATAAGGGATGATTAATTAGTTAATTAGTTTATCAATTAGTTAATTAACTCTACCTGGGAGTAGCTGGTGACGTTATACCGGATAATGTTTGTATAAGGGATGATTAATTAGTTAATTAGTTTATCAATTAGTTAATTAACTCTACCTGGGAGTAGCTGGTGACGTTATACCGGATAATGTTTGTATAAGGGATGATTAATTAGTTAATTAGTTAATCAATTAGTTAATTAACTCTACCTGGGAGTAGCTGGTGACGTTATACCGGATAATGTTTGTATAAGGGATGATTAATTAGTTAATTAGTTTATCAATTAGTTAATTAACTCTACCTGAGATGAGCTGGTGACGTTATACCGGATAATGTTTGTATAAGGGATGATTAATTAGTTAATTAGTTTATCAATTAGTTAATTAACTCTACCTGGGAGTAGCTGGTGACGTTATACCGGATAATGTTTGTATAAGGGATGATTAATTAGTTAATTAGTTTATTAATTAGTTAAGTAACTCTACCTGAGAGTAGCTGGTGACGTTATACCGGATAATGTTTGTATAAGGGATGATTAATTAGTTAATTAGTTTATTAATTAGTTAATTAACTCTACCTGGGAGTAGCTGGTGACGTTATACCGGATAATGTTTGTATAAGGGATGATTAATTAGTTAATTAGTTTATTAATTAGTTAATTAACTCTACCTGGGAGTAGCTGGTGACGTTATACCGGATAATGTTTGTATAAGGGATGATTAATTAGTTAATTAGTTTATTAATTAGTTAATTAACTCTACCTGGGAGTAGCTGGTGACGTTATACCGGATAATGTTTGTATAAGGGATGATTAATTAGTTAATTAGTTTATCAATTAGTTAATTAACTCTACCTGAGATGAGCTGGTGACGTTATACCGGATAATGTTTGTATAAGGGATAGTTTCTCCACTCCGTATAACAGCGTGTCTGAACACGTGGCCCACATCGGAGGGCACATACAGGGACGGGTAGTGGGTCTGCATGAACAGTATGTCCATGGAGGGTCTGCAGGAAAAGCAGGGAGTTAGAACTTAGTCCAGCTTCAAACTGATCAATTCTTTATTATAAAGGCCGGTTTTTAGTTTTTGAACTTATAATTCTACGTTACATAGTGGACCTCTGGCCCACTTCTATCATATGAGCAGCTTCATGATAATGAATGAGGAAATAGTGCTGAGCTGTGATGCCCATATAAGGGCACGTGATGTCCAATAAGGAGCTTTCTGGGCTGCTTCAGCAGCCGTCCTGAAACTCAGGCATTATATTCCACGGCGGTTGAGCTTGAGGCCGTTCCTTAGTCTTGCAGGTTTCTTTTCACGTCTTCTAATTTGGGGGGAGGGCCCCTACTTTGATCTTCATTCTTACAAAATAGCCCATGTATTTTGGTTGAAGACTTCTGCAAAAAGGCTTGACTCTGGGATTTAAACGGCTCCTATCGCCAGGATGGGAATTTTATGATATGTTATCGGAAAAATCGTAAAACTCTGAACTTCTCTTCTATGCTACCTAATTAGGAAGAAACAATTAAATAATTATACGCTAAATTGTCGTGTCACACCGTGGTTACTGGTAGATCTTCACACTGAAAGTAAAGGGTAGTAGCTGCTGGTTATCATTGCTCAACTCTTCAGATGCCTCTGAAATTAACTTAGTCTAATAATCCTAATACTTAAAAAGTAGTAGTAGTAAGTTAACTCATAATAATAAACTCAATCAATTTCTTCTAATCTTTTTATGAACAGTTTTTAGTAGTTGTTTAGGGTAGGTAGATACAATTGTTTACTTAATATCAAATCGAAAGTAAAAAATCGGAAAGTTACAAGAAACAAAAGAAAAGAAAGCTGAAAATCCACTGACCAGTAAAGAGAAATCTGTCGCTGTGAGGAGTTAAGCAATGCACCACAGCACCAAAGAAACTGAATGGCATGGTAAGACCGCCTTCTAAAATATGGCAGGGCTCAATTACATACAAATTACACAATCAGACAGTAATATTTAATTGTAACAACAATTGTGACTTGAAAAAATGTTTAAATGGATTACACTGACCAAAAGTTGATCTCACAGCCGACTCTAGTGAACCGATTTAGAATAGGTGGTTTTTTAGAAATTGACAGTATGGTCAGCCAATCAAAACACATATAAAAATTAATCCAATCATTACCGGACCACTTTTAATCGATTCTACGGTCAAAAATAAATCTCAACCGCCAATTCTAAATCGTTGCACTATAGCAGATACATTTTTCCAAAATAAAATGCCCATTGCCTGATTCGAAATGGATGAGTTTTCCGAGGATCTGATACTCAATTGACGTCAAATTATGCTGAATTAAATTTTGGTAATAAATTTTCGTATCAAAGATTTCACTTCATGCCGACCCAATTCATAATAAAAATAAAACAAGTTACCTGAGTAGGCTGAACTTGGCGAACTTGACGGTATATCTGTTGCGGGGCGATCGTTTACGTCGTGGTGAGCGGGATCTTCTGGGGGACCGGGAACGGCGTGGAGAGCGTGACCTGCGCGGGGACCGGGACCTACTCCGGGTCCGAGATCTTGAGTAGGACCTCTTCCGGGGCGGGCTGCGAGATCGCCTGGCCTTACCTGGGCGATATTAACCATTAACTCTATGTAAATCTAAACTATCTATCTAAATCGAGTGTCTTTCAGTTACATAACGAAGATAAATAAACCTTTATAAAACTTACGGTCATTTCGGTTATCTGGATTAGATTTGATTTGGAAGACGGGTATAACGCGCCCCTTGTGATCTAGGTTTTGGGTAGCTCCCGCCGGCCCAGTGTCAAATCTTGATCTCTTACCTCCTGAGAAAAGTAACTTTGTTCATGTAATCGGAATCAGTGTTCTGATATATATATATGCTACACAGTTATTCGCCAGATAGATTCATGGGTAATTACGAAACAATCAGCTTAGTATGACCACCATGGGGTTATCTAATATATTCTCCTACTGAGCAGTGGTGTGCTTCAAAGAACATGCTAGACTATCTTGGAATCACACGATGTTTACGATTTTGAACCGCCATATAATGCACGCGCACAATCAATAAACGCGCGTCAAAAACGCGCGACGATCTTTAAGATTTTGAAGTCAGCGTTTTCCGAAATATTTTAAAACACCGTGACCGGCACGTACGTGACAGCTGAAATTAAGACTTCGACAGAGTTTAATCGTAATGCCAAATTCGAACATGACTAGTCAGGGACCTTAACTTCACAATGGTAACGCTAGGGTCGGATTTCGTTCGTCTCATACTCCCCATACTTACCTTTGTAATTTGAGTCGAGCTTTCTCTTAAGTTTCAAATAATTCGAAAGATTATGGAATCAATAATGAATTGCATTACAGATTGTTGTATGACTAGCATTAACAGCATTTATAACAAATAGGAGTTCCCAACAGAATCCGTGTAACCATTTTGAGAACGCGAGAAATATAAACTAGAAATATTCACACGTGGCATTATGCAAGGGACCAAATCTAATCCGGAAGCTTAAATATTCTTATGACTAAGTTATGAGGTCATAATTGAGGGTATTCACACAATATACAATACAAATGGTGCCGAAACTATAAAATCGTTAAAGACTCATATTTGGCGCCAGTTAATCTCATGACAACCCAAATATTATTCCTGAACCGCAGCCAGATGTCTTTCACTCAATTCAGACGATTTTATTCTAACAACCAATAACGACACTGCAGTCATTAAATTGTTGTAAACCAATAACATCAGAAAACGGAAGATCACCTTATATTATAATGCTACCTGTCACTGACTGAGATTTCAAACAAGTTTACATTGTTTTGTGAACAAGTTTCTTATCTTAATTAAATTTTAAAACTTCTAACGTCCTTATGATGTTGAAGCTTTCAAAGTACCCAGTGGTTTGACTGATTATGGATCGGGTATGTTCGGAATGAGCAGATCCGGTCTTAATCTAGTAAGCGTGTAACTGAGATTAAGAATCATCAGAAGTCGTTTCTTCCGGAGCGAGTTATTCCTTACTGGAACAAACTCCTTTCTGAGGTCAATAATTCAGAAAGTGTTCAGAGTTTTTAAATTGAACTGGAGGAATTTAAGAAAAGATGTATTGTTTTTATTTACTTTTAATTTTGTATTGTTAATTCTTTAAACAACGATAAATATTCCTGGGAATAAGTTATCAGGAGAAGTTGCTCTTAGAATAATTGTAGGAATTTAATAAAAGTAATAACATTGAAAATAAAAAGAAACATAACTGGTAACGAAATCTTTGGTTTCATACGCGGCAAAAAAAATGTTTACATTTTCTGGGAAGTATTTATAGGCTTTTAAAATATAATGTACTAGAAACCCGCTAGTCGAAAGCTTTGTTCGAGGAAATTTTTTAAATCAGTTATGTTTTAATTTCTTTTATTCGTCTAGCTCTGTTATGCTGTAGAAAGTATGGCTTTTATTTGGCAACGTCGACAAAGTTGTTATAGTATTTAGATTCCCTAAACGATACTTTTTACCGCATCAAAAAATATCGATCATAACCAAAGTTATGAATAGTCATAGCGTGAGCCTAAATATGAGCTAGAGTCATGACGTACCTTAATTCCCAAAAATTTGGGCGACCAAAAATTTGAGCGGGCCTCTCGCCCAAATTTTTTGCAGACCAAATTTATTGCATAAATCTTTTCCGTCTGCTAAATTTTTTGCTAACCAAACTTTTGGCATTTGGCCTGTGGCCCTGAAATCTATAGAAAGATGGCTTTTTCTTCATATCCTAGTGAAATAATATTTGAAATTTTAGTTTTCTAATCTGTCATTCATGGCTTGGCCAAGTAAAAAGGCTTATATTTTTAAATGAATAGAAATAACTGGAATAGCTAACAGCTATTAATAAAACAAATGGCTAGAGGTACAGATAGCTAGAGATTTAAACAAGATCTGCAAATGGATTATCATCCACCGTAAAGTCTGATCTACAAGCATCAGTTATACCCGATTTCTCAAAGCCTTTCCTTATGTCATCTGGCCTCCCTTTTAAATATACAAAAAGTTCGTTGATCCAACGAGCGCGTACTTCACGGATCACTGTCAAGCGGGTATCAATTTTCACATTGTCTGATGAAACTCCTCCATTGAGCTGACACACTATGTTTTTCGCGTAACAATCTTCGTACTTATTGCGCATTAATTTCTTAGCCAGTCCAGGGGCTAAAGAGGGACTAAATATCACTATTGTATATCTATCATTTTGTACTGTGCCATCATCACTGTATTTTTTAGTAGTTACTGGGCAGATCGTAAATTTCATAATGTGAAACAACTCAGACTACCACATACATGCTTAAAATTGAAAGCAAAATGACTGGAATAATAAGGAATAATAATGAACTAAGGCAAATATCTAACTGAAATTTTAGTGGAAAATCGTTCATTTTTCGAAGAATTTGTGCCCAAATTTTCGGTCGCCCAAATGAGTTCAAATTTTCTGCCCAAATTTTTCGGGCTCAAATAAATTGTGCTCAATATAATGGCACACAAATTTTTGGGAACTAAGGTATCATGATTATAAAGCATGACAACAAAATATAATATTGATGATGCAGTGGATAAATTTGATGTTTCGTCAATTAAAAGCTCTTCATTCAACGTTATATCTCGGAGTATTTGTTGACGGCAGAGGACAAACAATAATCGGATGCTGGGAGTTGCTTTCCGAAACGTTTGTTATGTTAAGCTTACCGTGACTGAGGGTCTGCATGAAATATAATGTCAAGAAGCATTATCAATTACCGATATTGAAAATCAGCATGAAATTTGGTTTGACATTGGCAGCTTTCCAGTCTACCCTAGTTTAGTTTCCAGTCCCTCCTAATATCCTGATATAATCAGTAATCACTCGCACCCCAGCTACCACTAACTTTATGATATAAAACTGTAATCACTCGCACCCCAGCTACCACTAACTTTATGGTTAAAACTGGCCTCTAAATTTGGGTTTAACGAAAACAATTGGTTATCGTAAATGTTTTTGCAACTTTTTGAATTAGTGATTACCGTGACAATTCAGTAGAATATGCGAGATTAAAAGATTGTCTTGGTAAGAACTGATATTTTGTATCTAATGAAACTAGAACCGTGATTGAAGTATTATTATATCTGTACGTGAGGGTATGACAGGAATCCCTAATTAGCGATGTATCTTTAGAGACTCGTCTAGGGGCTAAACAAGATTTGACCATATTATCTCATCATTAATGGAATGAAATGATGATAGTTGTAAAAACATTCCGATAATAGTTACTGTTAGGGCGTTATGAATACTAGCAGGAACCCGTTTATTAATTATTAATGTTGGCGAAGTAGTATTTATATATATTTTTATGACCGTTCAGTTCCCCAGACCTTTATCCACTGGGAGACTTTGGGACCGGAAACTGATCCGGCCCCCAAAGAGGGGTCAGATCACGTCACCAATTGGTGACGTATAATTAGTGATGTGATCCATGGATTGAATATAATTGACAAAGAAATGGGCTAGATCTGGGGTAGACTTCACATGTCAATTTTGTAAAACATAGCTGTACATTAAGAAGTAAACATGATCTGACTGCTCGAATCGTAGATCACATAAGGGACGGCAACCTTGCTAAAGGGGGGGGGGGGGGGGGGGGGGGGGGGGGGGGGGGAGGGGGGGGAGGGGGTGGTTCTCGTATCAAGAGATCAAGGGATGTGAGACGTACGTGTCAAAGGCATGCAAGGGGAGTGAGCCGATCTAGTGTTCTAGGTATAAATCATCTCACTACAATCCCTCTCAACCAAGTTATATAATGTCATGAAAATCAACGATACGCCGACTTTATGGCTCTATTCTTTATATTATACCAAAACAGGAATCATTGCCGAGAAATAAATCTCGATTTCCAAGTAACTCGGATTGTAAAGAAGAAATGTCACCTTTTAGGTAGGTACTAGATGTTTTAGCGACTACGTTCTACTGCATAATATAGGCTATGATAGAGCCATCTGGTGGGGTTATATGCCCAGGGCAGGATACCACTACCTACCCCGCTGTATAGTACACACAACGAAATGTGCCGACAATTAACCCATACATGGGCAGTAATGAGAACTTCCTAGAACTATGTATTTTAACAGCTGCCTATTTTTATCTCACTGCCTGGGAGTGCTCTCTCTGAAACAGTTAATACTTTAACGGCGAGGAAGTAGACATGTTTTGACACGTGACTCTGACACGTAACTCTGATTTGTTGCTTTTAAGCAGCTTCCAGGTGCCGGAGAAGTAGGTCTAGTGCGGGTAAAACTATGTTATACAGGATTACCTGTTCAAGTTTTTAGAACTCTCAACACTGTAAACATATAGTAGTAGTGTTAGTAGTAGTGTTAGTAGTGTTAGTAGAAGCAGTGTTAGTAGTAGTAGTGTTAGTAGTGTTAGTAGTAGTGTTAGTAGTAGTGTTAGTAGTAGTGTTAGTAGTGGTGTTAGTAGTGTTAGTAGTAGTGTTAGTAGTGTTGGTAGTAGTGTTAGTAGTAGTGTTAGTAGTAGTTTAAGTCACGTAGTGTCTCATATAACATCTCTGTAATATTTTTAGATCATGAATACGATGTTGTCACATTGAAACTTTGATTAAATCCCTTCCTGATAAGAGCCTTTTCCTTGTCGCATCAAACGGGATCAATAGAAATTTATCCAAGAAAAACAAATCGCTGTAACAGAGAGATCGCTGTAAGAGCTTGTGAGTATTTTAGTATTTTAGTACTTGTCTCAGTGTGGCAGGAATGTAATATCCGGACTAGAAGTGATAACATTCATCACTTTATCTAGCAGTTAAACACTCATACTCAAAGTAAGATGGCTTGTGTATTGTGTATGTGTATCTAGCCGCTGTTTAACACTCATACTCAAAGTAAGATGGCTTGTGTATTGTGTATGTGTATCTAGCCGCTGTTTAACACTCATACTCAAAGTAATATATGAGAATTATCCGTCGTTACTACTACTATTTTATATCCGGATACTAGCAATATTTATTCAGTACGAAACCAACACAATGTTTTACATCAAATAAACCGTATTAGTACAAGCCGATTAAGAAGGTGAGACCTCAAGAGTGGAATAAACGATCGACAAGATACATCCTCAGTAAGATTTCAACGGATCCGACGTTTATTCTCGAAATTTTCGTTCAATTTTGGTCATCCAGTGTCTGCACTTCAAGGACAATTCCAATGCAGATCAATAAAAAGTTAAACAAGTTCGAATCACAAAAGCACAGCATGAGCTACACGAGATCCTTACCATTATGGTCATTTGATAGTTCTTTCGTTCCAATTTCTTATTGTTTCTGAATAGACTCAGTCTAGACTGAGTCTATTCAGAAACAATCAGAAATTTGAATGAAAGAACTATCAAATCATGAGACTCTATAACACTACCCGAATCCACCAGATTATGGTCATTGGCTGAGTGCCAGTAAATTATCAGGTTAAGTAAACACTAACTTAGTTTACATACTTTAAACTATAAATATGTTATATATAGATGTGCTTTATTATACATATTACATTACTAATCTTATAGAATCATATTATGGTTACATAGAATGTAAGATAATAATATTGTTATGTTATTGATAGGAGACCTATAATAAATCTCACCAGTAGGAGGGAAGCTAGTAGTGGGCTTTGCGATTATCTGTGCCATGGGAGGAGGGTTTGCAGTGCTAAACCGGGGTGCTTTAACTGTTTCCTGGAACTGATAATAAGTGTGTTACAGTTAGAATAATTTAAACATTTCGTCACGTTTAAAATGATAACTCTTACTTCTTAATTGATGTACATAAAGCAAAGCGCGCATTTTTAGGTCAAATTGTACATCAAACTGTTTATAGGGACTAGAATATTGCTGTTATCGTTCGGATTATCCCAGAATATCAACAAAGGAATTGATAAGCCTTAATAGCAGACGCGATAACATGAAATGAGAATTATTTAATTTAATTATGATAATAAAATTATCACTAATTGCAGGAGTAAAATATGAAGGACGTCATCGAGAACTAGTCGAAAACAGGTTATATCGGCTAGAAATGACGATCAGGCGTGGCGTTAAACGTGTTTCTCATTTTAAAACACTTAAACTAGCAAATCTCATTACATAATGTTATTTTTAATATTTCTTATTATAATTTCTTATATTTGATACAAGGGAACGCCATTTTCGGACGTGAGGAGAGTTAGGATTCCTCCAACTACATTAAACTAAGAGAGGCTGGGCCATGATAGCCCACGAGAGAATAGCATTGAGATGCTCTGCCTACCTCTGGGGTGTGGCAACCCTGGGGAAGGTTGCCGGAGAAATCAGAGTGAATGGCATGGTGGAGGATGGTGTTAAAAGTGACATGAGTCAAAATGATACGCTTAAGTGCGAGCTGGGTTTGGAAAAGTAAAATGAGACGATACAGCATATGAGTTAATACTCTAAGTCACCCCGGTCTGATCCAGCTCTTCCGGCATATGTCATTGACAGAGAGGTAGTAGTCCTGGAAATATTGACCTCTTATTTTGGCAATAGACGGACACTGTCCAAGGAAGCGTGAGACACTTTCCTCTTCGTCGCCGCACGTATGACAAGTTAAGCACTGGTGCTTGATTTGCAAATGGTGTGAAGGTGTTTGTTTAAGCCGCAGTGACCCGTGATGAGGTGAACTGCAGAGCAAGTCTGTGTGCACACGGGGGGGGGGGGGGGGGGGGGGGCTGCACACGTACGTTTGCAACAGTTTGTACAGTCACCCGGGGTATTACTGTATGTGGATTAGTTTTCACAATGAATCTAATCATTTATAATATAACCAGTCGCCGTGCCAGATAAATTAGGAGCGATAACAACACACTAATATATCTAGAGGGTGGCCCAGAGGTAACTGCCCACACGCAACCCTTTAATAACTCACGTAATTCTTCTTAGAATTGCACAGAAATTTCAGAGATTATAGATATGGGTCAAACTTAGATTTCCTGAAAGTTAACAATATCTTCACTCAATCAATGCCCTGATTGGTTGGAAACTGCCTGCTTAATGGACAGCAACCGAAGCGCTATAACGCGAAATTCTTCGGTTTTAAGGAACGTCACTATCAGTATTCACTCAAAGTTATCAGATCGTCATCCATTATTGCTAGCTAGCGAATAGCTCCCGATGAAATTACTGATTGGATGACGAAATCACTGATTAAGTTCCGAGATCACGTATCTGCAATATCTTAAAAGAAGTTCCTAGCTGAAAGCGTTATCACTTTATGGTGACAATAGCGAAAAAGAGGGATTGGTGTGCCACACCCACTGTAATTAATTAAATTTGACAAAACTTTCAGGAAATCTAAGTTTGACCTATATCCATAATCTCTGAAATTTCTGCGCAATGCTAAGAAGAATTACGTGAGTTATTAAAGGGTTGCGTGTGCATGTGGGCAGTTACTTTTGGGCCACCCAACACTCTAACAATATATAACACACTAATCACCTTCATGTCACTCCTTCATAATAGCCTTTACAATTAAGCTAGGTTAAAAATCGTACCACGCACAAATTTGACGCCACAACGGACGATAAAAGGCCCTATACATTCACTTGGGTAAATCAAAACTTCATTTTTTCCTCGAAAAACTTTGGTAACCTCTTATCTATCTTTTACTTGTTGTACTTGGCAAGAAATGCTTTTGTCTGAAACAAAGGACTAAAGGACTGCAGTCAGCACAATATTACGGAAAAGCGAACCGAATAAAACTACAAACATAACCGGCTCCAATTTCAGCCGCTTGTTTTAAGCAGCTTTTCGACACTTTGTCGCATATTTTTGACACTATCTGAATCTCACAGAGTCTGTTTAAACTCTAACTGTTCCACTGCTCTGCTGCGGATAAAACATTCCTAACTCCGAACAGAGCATAAAATCGAGTGTAAACCAGAACACACTACACATTTCTAACTAGAACATATAATTATAACACATTTCTAACCAGTACACATTTCTAACGAGATTACACTACACATTTCTAACCAGTACATAGTACACATTTCTAACCAGTACATAGTACACATTTCTAACCAGTACATGTAGTACACATTTCTAACAGGTACATAGTACACATTTCTAACCAGTACACAGTACACATTTCTAACCAGTACATAGTACACATTATTAACCAGTACATAGTACACATTTCTAACCAGTACACAGTACACATTTCTAACCAGTACATAGTACACATTTCTAACCAGTACATAGTACAAATTTCTAACCAGTACACAGTACACATTTCTAACCAGTACATAGTACACATTTCTAACCAGTACATAGTACACATTTCTAACCAATACATAGCACACATTTCTAACCAGTACATAGAACACATTTCTAACCAGTACATAGTACACATTTCTAACCAGTACATAGGACACATTTCTAACCAGTACATAGAACACATTTCTAACCAGTGCACAGTACACATTTCTAACCAGTACATAGTACACATTTCTAACCAGTACTGAGTACATAGTACACATTTCTAACCAGTACATAGTACACATTTCTAACCAGTACATAGTACACATACCTTGCTAACACTCCTAATCTGTTGAGAATTGTAGCCGCCCTGCTGGGACTGATTCTGAGCTTTCTGCTGTGCTTGTGCGGGTTGTGATCCCACCGCTGGTTGTGAGGGGAAGCTGGAGAAGCGCGGGTTTGCGCTCTTATTAGTCTGGGAGTATGGGGGCGGGTACATGTAGTTACCTCCTGCTGCACTCTAAGAGGGGTGGTTGTTAGGAGGTTGTTAGGGGGGTACCCCCAAACGTGGTGATGATATAGCCAGCCCCGCTACCTGAGTCTGTGCGTGACCCGTCTGCTACACAGAGACTCAGGTATTCAATTGTGTTGAGAGGGGAAATAATGCGAAATTATAAGAATAATAAATCCGGCCAGTAAGCTAATTAAGGTGGCTAATAATCCAATAACGGACTAAGTTATAGGAGACATCCGCTAAACTGTGGTAGTTTCAGCAGGAATAATATCTGAACTTACGTGAATCGTTTCAGTACAAAAAACAAACTCGATTATAAGAAAGGGAGACGAACATGACAACTAATTGTTTTGGCAGTGCTATCAGGGACAACAGAGTTGATGAGCTACAATTTCAAGACAAACATAATATTTGAATCCTTAATTATTATTAAAAACTCACAGAGGGCTCCTGCTTCTTGACCGCGCTCTGTTGAAACTGCACTACTTTAACTTTAGTAGCGTTCCAGCACTGCGCTGCGGTTGTTCTCTGTGCTTCGTAGCTTACTTTGTCTCCTATGTTGGGTAGAGGCCCCTAGAAGTAGCAATTATTCATAAAATTTAAGTATTTTTATTCTATTTGCATTTTGTTCGGGTGCAGATTTTATTATAGTCATGGTCTCAAAACTTCGGAAAAATAGCAGAATTCACCTGAACTACCCCGAAGTTGAACATAGTGTTTTTGTCGATACATCCGTACCCCAGATACTTTTTAGTGACGTACCCTTCTGATTTTATATTCTGTACTCCTGGAGGAATTAGATAGAATAAAAGAATAATAGATTAATAGAAAATATAATATTGTTATACACAAAAGCAGTTCAGAAGATGTTTACTAAACTAATATACTAACTTATGAATTGATAGAAACACATAACGAGAACCACTATCAGATGTGATACACTAAAAAAGGTTTCACAGAAACGTTCCCAAATGTTGTTAGAGCAGCTGACAGGGATACTTCCTTATTTGGTAGTGTTACCATGACAACACTACCTTATTTGACCCAGTGTTACCATGACAACACTACTTTATTTGACCCAGTGTCACCATGACAACACTACCTTATTTGGTAGTGTTACCATGACAACACTACTTTATTTGACCTAGTGTTACCATGACAACACTACTTTATTTGACCTAGTGTTACCATGACAACACTACTTTATTTGACCTAGTGTTACCATGACAACACTACTTTATTTGACCTAGTGTTACCATGACAACACTTCCTTATTTGACCTAGTGTTACCATGACAACACTACTTTATTTGACCCAGTGTCACCATGACAACACTACCTTATTTGGTAGTGTTACCATGACAACACTACTTTATTTGACCTAGTGTTACCATGACAACACTACTTTATTTGACCTAGTGTTACCATGACAACACTACTTTATTTGACCTAGTGTTACCATGACAACACTACTTTATTTGACCTAGTGTTACCATGACAACACTACTTTATTTGACCCAGTGTCACCATGACAACACTACCTTATTTGGTAGTGTTACCATGACAACACTACTTTATTTGACCTAGTGTTACCATGACAACACTACTTTATTTGACCTAGTGTTACCATGACAACACTACTTTATTTGGTAGTGTTACCATGACAACACTACTTTATTTGACCTAGTGTTACCATGACAACACTACTTTATTTGACCTAGTGTTACCATGACAACACTACTTTATTTGGTAGTGTTACCATGACAACACTACTTTATTTGACCTAGTGTTACCATGACAACACTACTTTATTTGGTAGTGTTACCATGACAACACTACTTTATTTGACCTAGTGTTACCATGACAACACTACTTTATTTGACCTAGTGTTACCATGACAACACTACTTTATTTGACCTAGTGTTACCATGACAACACTACTTTATTTGACCTAGTGTTACCATGACAACACTACTTTATTTGGTAGTGTTACCATGACAACACTACCTTATTTGACCTAGTGTTACCATGACAACACTACTTTATTTGGTAGTGTTACCATGACAACACTACCTTATTTGACCTAGTGTTACCATGACAACACTACTTTATTTGACCTAGTGTTACCATGACAACACTACTTTATTTGACCTAGTGTTACCATGACAACACTACTTTATTTGACCCAGTGTCACCATGACAACACTACCTTATTTGGTAGTGTTATCATGACAACACTACTTTATTTGACCTAGTGTTACCATAACAACACTACCTTATTTGGTAGTGTTACCATGACAACACGTTCCCAAATGGTTTCTTGTTGTCCCTCCCATAAACAGTATCTCTTGTAATTATCCAAAATAGAATTCAATAGTGTGCAACATTTAGTATGTTACGTTAAATAATAGGAATATTGTGTGATACTAATGTATGAACAGAGAATAATTATAGATAAGTATTAGTGGTAGTAGTAGTGGTAGTAGTAGTGGTAGTAGTAGTGGTAGTATTAGTGGTATTAGTGTTAGTAGTGTTAGTAGTAGTGTTAGTAGTAGAGTTAGTAGTAGTGTTAGTAGTAGTGTTAGTAGTAGTGGTAGTAGTAGTGGTAGTAGTAGTGGTAGTAGTAGTGGTAGTAGTAGTGTTAGTAGTGTTAGTAGTGTTAGTAGTGTTAGTAGTGTTAGTAGTAGTGTTAGTAGTAATGTTAGTAGTAGTGTAAGTAGTAGTGGTAGTAGTAGTGTTAGTAGTAGTGTTAGTAGTAGTGGTAGTAGTAGTGTTAGTAGTAGTGTTAGTAGTAGCAGTAGTAGTAGTAGTAGTAGTAGTGGTAGTAGTAGTGGTAGTAGTAGTGGTATAAGTAGTGGTAGTAGTAGTGGTAGTAGTAGTGTTAGTAGTAGTGTTACTAGTAGTAGTAGTAGTGGTAGTAGTAGTGGTAGTAGTAGTGGTAGTAGTAGTGGTAGTAGTAGTGGTAGTAGTAGTGGTAGTAGTAGTGGTAGTAGTAGTGGTAGTAGTAGTGTTAGTAGTAGTGGTAACTAGTAGTGGTATTAGTAGTGGTAGTAGTAGTGGATAACTTACCATTGCTCGATATCTGGATGTTACCCCCACCACCTATCCAGGAGGAAGACATTCTAAAAACAAAATAGGATATTATTATATAGTTATACTAGAAAACCCGTGGTCACAGGGAGGAAGCTAATACTAATAACTATTTTTTGTTAGTAAGTTTAAATCGCGTCAAAAAATATCCTACACAACCGAAGATACAGCTCGCACTAAACACAACGTAATTACCACAAAACCGATCAAAATGTCGCTCACCAATCATTGCACGTGCACGTGCGTGTAATAACCCTCGTTACCATGGTTACTACGCAACTTATATTTGTTTACCCAATTTTCACGTGGGCGGTCGTACATTATACATTATACATACATTATACATACAGAAATAATTCTTTGAATTATATAGTTATATAGTTATATTCTATAACAAACTATTTATTACAACTAATACATCACTATCTTTTCTGTATAACAGACAAAATGATTGGTCAGTAATCGCTATCATTTGAGAATGTATTCAATTGTATAAACTTATAAATGAAAAACGTGTTACATGTAAAATGTCGAATTACAGCATATTAAAAGAACAAGAATTCATAAATTATAATACTTATCTGTCTGGAAGTGAAATATCAATAATCTTTGAGCATCTAAACAATTGTATATTTACACTATATTTTATACATTATACCATGACTTGAGAAAGGTTTAGAGTGCAGACAATTTAAAATTAATATCAGTTTGTTCACAAAAATGTGGGTGTGCAGTTAAAATTGCTGTTGTGCAGGCAACAAGGTTACCAGGTTACAGGTTATTTCTACCCATACATTATACATACTCCTATTCCTGTTTAGATTTAAAAACTTTTCTGCAAGTACACTTCACCAATTTAAATATACATATCAAAATGCTAACCATTATACTCAGAAAGATGATCAGAAAGAACATTAAAATATCTAAATTGTACATCTCTACAATTGACTGTTGCTTAATTTCTGAGTTCCTCAAGTAATCTGCATTCCCAAACTTTAAAAGACGGTCCACATGGTATTTCAAGACAGCTTCTCCTGATCCTGGATCATCAATAACAGCTTCAGTAGCTTCTCTCATAATTTTAGAGTATACTCCCTTTTCCTTCAACATTGTATCAACAGCCATCTTGAAACTTTCATGAGTGAGGTCCTCCTTCAATAACATGACTCCAAACTTGTTCCTCTTCACAATTGCAGCATTGTGAACCTGATCAGCAAACAAGGGTACACAAAACAGAGGCACATTGTAAAAGATGCTCTCCAACCGACCATTGTTCCCACAGTGGCTAACAAAGAAACTAATCTTACCGCTTCCAAGTAAATCTTTCTGGGGAATCCATGACTTGGCTAGAACTTGATCCTTGGCAAATCCAAACTGATCTTCAATTGTTTCAGTGAATTTCAAAATGAGACACGCATTAGTAGCTGCTAGTACCTCCAGCATAGTGGCTGTGTGTTTAAAAGACTTTATAGTAAAACAAATTTTTAGTAAAACAAATTTAAATTTTGGTATTTATTAATAACAATCAAAACATATCATATCATAAAAATAAAGCCGCGCGTTGGTTGACTGCCTCAGTATGGTGAATAATTTAAGCTTGAAGGTGCCCTGCGCATTTACAGAACATTATGCGGCGATCACATGATCACGAGGACCTGTGAGCGCCAAATTTAATTTAAACTTTCTAGAAATCGTACATCACTACGAGTTACTCATGCTTTTGAATTATAGGAGTGCGGATTGTCAGGTATTTCATTCATTCATACTTAATCGGTTTAAAGCTGTATATTTAGAGCTCACTATTGTTTGAACTATGAAAGCAGAACGTAAATAATGGACAATATACCGACGACAATACCAAGGACCCGAGTGCCGCATTGACTTTTCCGGATCCGTTTTTACCGAAGGCTTATCCACCAGTTACTCATGCTGCATGTATAGTCTGATAATATTTTGTTTTATCTCTAGCAAGCATTCTGTAAGTTGGAGTGTCGTATTTATTATAGAAGAGCCAGCCAACCTCCGCATTACAATCTTTTGTATATATTTGCAAAGAATGAGCCAAATGACAGATACACAATATTATGGTGGGGACAATTTGCAATGAAATTGTTTAAGTCATCTGGAAGTGGATTGAGTTGATGCGTTTTCAAATGAAAGAAACCGAGAGAAAATGTGTTTGGAGGGAGAAGATAAGGAAATCCTACAGCTGGATGATCCATAACAAATCTCACATCAGCAACTCTATCAAGTTCTTCCATGTTATATTTAGTAAACTTAGGCTGTTCATAGAACATGGATCCAGAAAGTTTAATTATGCTAAATAATCTCATTGTTGCATCCCATCTGTCTCTTAAAGTGGGAGGAAATTCCCCTCCAAGTAAAGAATTGGGCTCGCTAAATTGTAATGTTGAATAGCCCTCTTTTGATCTGAGGAATGCGATCTCACTAGTACAAGTGAGTCCTAATACAGGTAGCCCTGCAGTTGCAAGAAAGTATGCTGCTCCAATTGCAGTATCTTCCATGACAACCAAATCGAAATTTCTTTCTCTCATCAGATGCTCAAAGTTCTCTCCAGTAAAGTAATCAAACCCATATGAGAAGAAATCCAGAGATCTTTTCCTGGCTAGTTCAGTTCCAGCCAGCAAGTCACTCATCATATCTTTTGATGGCAAATCTACCAGTTGTTTAATAAGCTCATTGACAGATTCCAACTCTTTCTTGCTCCCCTCTCTATCTGTTACAGGATTCCAAAGAAATTTCCTTGATGACATATCAACGTTCATATCATCGTACAGTGAAAGAACAGTTACATTGTGTCCAGATTCAACAAGAAACTCGGCAACAGCTGCTGAAACATAGAGATGGGATCCATATGTTCCTACAGTCACCAGAATATTGGCAGAATAGGATATAGAGACCAGTGTTGACAGAAGAACATACAACATAGACGATAATCTTTCCATTGCTTGTAAACCTTTAATGAGTGTTATTTAGCCCTCAAAAGGGAGAAAAAGCGGGGTTTTTTAATGAACAGGTTCATGAATATGACTGTTTATTGTGTATGTGTGCATTTTGCAGATATCAGCGAATTTGGAGGATTGGACAAACAATTTCTTATTCATCAGAAAATTATACTTAGGCATTTTAAAACAAATTTACAGTGCCAGTGCTGCCAGTGGCGTAACGAAAGCCAAAGGCCCTGCTGACCCTGCTACTAGCAAAATTGTACGCTTTGCTCAAGAAAAAGCAGTCAACAGTAAAACAAAGTATTTTTTAGTAAAACAAAGTATTTTATTTATCAGCAGTGCAATCAATTCATATGATATAATTATAAGAATATAATAGTATGTCACACAGTGGGTGTGGCACGCCACTCCCTCTTTTTCACTATTGTCACCATAAAGTGATAACGCTTTCAGCTAGGAATTTTTAAACAAAAAGGTTAACGGGTGATATTCGTAAAATATATGTTCCAAGTATTAAACTGTCGAGTCTAGATCGGCGCGCATCCAATGGTAAGTTATAAACCTACAACAAAAAGAATTTTATTTTTGAAGCGAAGGTTTTGAAAAGTTATTGCAATGCTTACCTGGCTCGCCAATCCTGGTAGTGCGATGCACTACTATACTGGGCCGTGCATCATTTCGCTAATCCCTGTCATGTGCGCGGCGCTTTTTCCAAGCTTCCTGAAAGGAGCAAACGATAAACTGGTATGCTAAGTAACTGCAATGCTCCATGCTCGCAATTTAGGATGTATAATGCGCGCAATTCAATTTCAAAGTTGTGGTAATATTTGCTTCACGATGTCTTTCCTTCGCATCTTTCCGATTTGCATACGCAACCCAGTAGTGCATCGCGCTACAATGGTAATATAAACTGTAAACTGCACTTTTTATATTGTATAAACTCAAAATCTTATCGACATATATTTATATTAATTGATAATTGTAATGACCTTTTTTTTTCTTTAAAAATAATATAAAAATTGAAGTCAGGCGATGTGCTTTAAAATAATATATCGCGCGCCATGAGTCAATTCATTAATAATGGAAAATGTATAAACAGGCTTCGCGCTATTGTGTACTGTAAGCGCGAGCGCTCCTACTAAATTGCTCGCCCAAATTTTAAGAAAATTCTTGTGAAAAGGCCCTTTGGCATGGAAGTGATCTAGATCGGTGTATTTTTTGACGCTGATTCCGAATCACCCCCCATGACGTAGGGTTAAAATTAGAGTGGCGGGTTTTTTTCGATTTTTTTCGAGGAAAATACCGTTGTAATGCTTATTTCGAGAAAATAAGGATGGCGAAAGTTTTTTCGAAAATGGACTTGACCCAGCAACAAAAATCGTTAATAAACAAACTAACAATTAACAACAATCCAGTGTGTTAGGGAGCCGCTCCAACTGTTTACTAATTGATCTTCCAAGCCTTAGGGGAACCCCGTTGTTCACGTGATCATGTATGAAAAAATGTACGACGACCGAAGCGGGAAGCCCCTTACTAAACCGGGCCGGCCTAATTGTCTATTTTCGATTTAATGAGGTTTCCGAGCTGCTATCTTGAGATAAATGGTCAAGTTCTACTAGTAGTAATACTACACTCACACTATATGTTATATCATATAATTATAAGTATAATACACTACACATTTAAACAGCTAACGCAGCCTAGTTTATCATGTTAGAATTATGTGGAAGATATATTAAATGCCAGAATATGCCAAAAGTTTACAACGAGAAAGATTGTGATTGATTGAATACGCCCAATGGGCGCTGGTCTGTACCGAAATATAAAAAACATACAATATAAAATTATAGAGAAACATAGAGAATAAAATTCTAGCAAGCCTCCGAAAACTATTTAGCATTGTGTGTCGACGTAACTAGAAAATAGCATAAAAATATGAGTTGCAGTTCAGGTTCTGTTACTTTAACATTTACCAGTCTCAGCACTGAAAAAAACACACTAAATAAGCTTTCAACGCGGTTCATTTATTAATTGTAAAAAGTGGTAAATCTACACACGGCAACTCCAGTCAGCACCAAATAACACTCAACATACATCATACATTAACTCTTATCAGGAGCTTTGGGACGTTTGAGATGATAAGGTTTTATCAGCCGTGCAGATCTTTCTGTCGCGTATGAAATAATGTTTATTTGAGTCTTTCTGGATCATCTGTTTCATCTCCTTAACAAGTTTACTATGCGCACGCTGTTCCTCTTTGGTTCTGTCCGGTCCCAAATAAACATGTTTGAAAGAGTCACTGTCTCTGAGGTTTCGTGCACGCATCAGAATCAAGTCTACCTCACTGGCACAACCAAATTCGACCTTGATAGGCCTATTCTTACCCGGTTCCTTCCTTCCGATTCTGTAGACCTCACCAGTGCGGAGCACGGGGAAAGCGTCAGTTCCGTAAAGTATGTCCTTGACAACTTTGTTGAGCTCAAAATCGGCTTCTTTATCACTTTCATGGCAACCGTAGATCATCAAGTACTTCGATCGTTTCTTCTCTTCATTTACAGTCCTGACGGCTTGTTTGATAGAGTTTTCTGTTAAAGGTTTCCCGCAAGGACGCTGAGCAGTGTTTTTCTTGACAACATCCGTCCAACTTTTCATTTCTGATTTAACTGTCTCCTGAACTGAATTCATCTGTCCTTGTTGAGTTTCAATAATTAGTTTCTGATCCGCTATTTTCTCCGATTTCATGACATCAATTTTCCCAGCAGCACTTTTACAAAGTTCAATATTCTTCTCCGCCAATTTCATTAAGCTGCCGATGATTTTGACGAGTGGATTTTTGTTCAGTTTCATTAAAGCGGTCTCAGTAAAGTCAGATCTACATGAAACATTGGCAACCTTGAATATTTTCTGAATTTCTGATGTCATCTCATGGTCCATCGCGTTGAGCCGGTCCACTGAAAAATCCATGCTACACAGTCGGCGCTGTTGAAAGTCGACGTGGCGAGTAACACTTTCACTGATAACGATCACTGATAAGCGAGCTAAAAAACAGTGCAAATACAAATTGGTTTACTGCGAACTGATTGGTTTACTGCGAACTGAATTGGTTTACTGCGAACTGATTGGTTTACTGCGAACTGTACAACTATGATACTTGTACAACTATGATAAAGTGATAAGATGTTGGTAATGAAAAATGTAATTATATATGCTAATCTAACTGCGTATAATGCGATTACACTATTAATTGCACGAGCCACAGCCGAGTGCAAATTGATACAATAATCGATACAAGCCGATAAAAGCTGATAAAAGCCGATACAAGCTTACTCGTCGGCACTCAGCCTGTAATTCCGCTTAATCTCTATTTATGAACATTATAGCCTGGGGTCCCCAAGTAAATAAAACCCGTTACATACCAATAATTACAAACCAATAATAACAAACCAATAATCGATACAAGCTGAAAAGTTGATTAAAGCAGTTAGCAGAGTTCAATTATTGCGGTTATTTCACGCGACGGGCGTCAGCTATCAGTTTTCTAGCTTATCAGTTCATCACGTGACTATGCTAACAACCATCACGTGGCTATGCTAACAACCATCATGTGATTATGGTAACAACCATCACGTTACTATGCTAACAACCATCACGTGACTATGGTAACAACCATCACGTGGCTATGCTAACAACCATCATGTGACTATGGTAACAACCATCACGTTACTATGCTAACAACCATCACTTGACTATGCTAACAACCATCATGTGACTATGGTAACAACAATCACGTGACTATGGTAACAACCATCACGTGAATATGGTAACAACAATCACGTGACTATGGTAACAACCATCACGTGACTATGGTAACAACCATCACGTGACTATGGTAACAACCATCACGTGACTATAGTAACAATAATCATGTGACTATGGTAACAAATATCACGTGACTATGGTAACAACCATCACGTGACTATGGTAACAACAATCACGTGACTATGGTAACAACCATCACATAAATATGATAACAACAATCACGTGACTATGGTAACCACCATCACGTGACTATGCTAACAACCGTCATGTGACTATGGTAACAACCATCACGTGACTATGGTAACAACCATCACGTGACTATGGTAACAACCATCACGTTACTATGCTAACAACCATCACATGACTATGGTAACAACCATCACGTGACTATGGTAACAACAATCACGTGACTATGGTAACCACCATCACGTGACTATGCTAACAACCATCATGTGACTATGGTAACAACAATCACGTGACTATGGTAACAACCATCACGTTACTATGGTAACAACAATCACGTGACTATGGTAACAACCATCACGTGACTATGATAACAACCATCACGTGACTATGGTAACAACCATCACGTGACTATGGTAACAACAATCATGTGACTATGGTAACAAATATCACGTGATTATGGTAACAACCATCACGTGACTATGGTAACAACAATCACGTGACTATGATACAAACCATCACATAACTATGGTAACAACAATCACGTGACTATGCTAACAACAATCACGTGACTATGCTAACAACCATCACGTGACTATGGTAACAACCATCACATAACTATGGTAACAACAATCACGTGACTATTCTACCTTATAAGGAGTGTAGTGACAGCACGTGACTACCTTATAAGGAGTGTAGGTACGACACGTGACTACCTTATAAGGAGTGTAAGGACGACACGTATAGTCACGTGATGGTTGTTAGCATAGTCATATAATTGTTGTTACCATAGTCACATGATGGTTGTTACCATAGTCACGTGATGGTTGTTAGCATATTCACGTGATGGTTGTTAGCATAGTCACGTGATGGTTGTTACCATAGTCATGTGATGGTTGTTACCATAGTCACGTGATGGTTGTTACCATAGTCACGTTATGGTTGTTAGCATAGTCACATGATGGTTGTTACCATAGTCACGTGATGATTGTTACCATAGTCACGTGATGGTTGTTACCATAGTCACGTGATATTTGTTGTCATTGTCACGTGATGGTTGTTAGCATAGTTACGTGATGGTTGTTAGCATAGACACGTGATGGTTGTTACCATAGTCACGTGGTGGT